GGGGGGGGGGGGGGGGGGGGCAAAAAGCAAAAAGCGAGGTTTTCAGGTTGACTCCGCTCAGGTATCTAGTCTATGGTGACTCTTGAGAGCTGGAGCTTTCGTGTCTGATCCGAGACGACCATCCTGGTTCCACGGACTTTATTGGCTGGAGAATGGCTTTCTCGTCTTGCCTTTTTGACTAAGACTCTCCATGCAATCGGCCAGGACCAGACCATGCAGTGCTGTCTGGTGTCTGCCGGTGTCTACTGCGATCTGCTGTCGGTGGCTACCCTGAGATCTGGCGGTGTAAATGTAAGAGGGACAATAAAGTACTGTAACAAGCAGAGAACAACAATTGGAAAAAAAGGTAGGAGGAAGCAACAATACATTTCATTGTATCTTATTTGATTTTATTTTCCTTGACTTAATTTTATTCCAGTTAATTTCATTTCAGTCTTTCTTTTTCTTGACACATTGACACATTGAGTCCTCCATGTTATTGCTTCCTACCTCTGTTGACTCCAATGACGACTTTTTTTTTCCCTGACATGTTACTTTTTGATATATCCATCCACCACCAGCGATCATGCATGACATATCATCTCATCCCCCCTCGTCCTTCTTGGACCTGACACATCTTCCCCTTCCAAGTTCCCACCCCCCTCATCCCCAGTCCTCTCAGCATCTTATCCACTCACACTTCTCTATTCCGAAGTACAAGAGACAGATTTGGTGTCCAGCAATCAGCGAAAGAAAACACGTCCTTCATTCGTCAGCGGATGCATCCGTGGCTCTCGTTTACCCTCGTTGAGCGGATCTGACCTGCTCACTTCCGAGCTCTCTCCTCATCTCCATGTCCATGGTATTTTTAGGTATCCCTCGCACTAGCGATCTGCTGCTGCTGCTGCTGCTGCTACTTGATCTTTCGCGTGATTCTCTTCCTCTTTCTGCCTTCTTCCTGAATCCACCATCTTATTCGCACCTCGATTTTGCCGAAGCCGGTTACTTCTGCGTCAGTGTTTCGGTCCCAACGTCTCAGCTTGTCTCTGGGTGGTGGGACGCCCTCCATGTAGGCAATCGATCGACCCTCCTCCGGCTCTTTGCTCGTATCGCTTTAAAATCGACGAAGGTGCAGTCACTCAGCTGGATCCTCCCGCCGCGGATCAGTGCTTCTTAAGCAGTCCGACCTCACTCGTTCACCTGTGCGACCGGAGCTTCCTGGAACCTAGAACGGTAAGCAGGTTCGCCTCGAGCACCTTCAACACTTACTTCTACGGCATATCTTTGGGTTAACTCTGACCTGATACTGATCACTGGCCATCATCACCTGGATCAACAGAGCTTAACTCTATTATCACTTTCCCGCTGGGAACCGAGCTTTGTGCGCGGAGCCTGTTTGGGAACCAACCGGACGCAGCAATTCCGTGTGACTGGTCCCCTCAAGTACCGACGGTCGATCTATACAACTATAATTGGAAGCCGTGACGGTGCTGCAATCACCGCGACTGCACGATAACATGCCTGCACCAACGTCCTCGCGCGACAAGGGGCGAACGGCAAAGCAGGGAAGGTCGGATGAGGAGTTTGTCTTGTTCCTCCAGGGAGTAGGTTCCCTCGACCGTGCTCGCTGTCTTCGTGTCTTGCTTATCTCTTCTCCCGTGAACTAGATCCCAGCGCATTGCCGCTGGCAGGAGCTCAAAGATCTGGTCCGCCAAACAGCCTTACATATCCGACAGGCTGTAGTGTACGATGATCAGCATGGATTTCCAACCGGGCTAGGTCAGATCATCGTTAAGAACGAGGACGAAGCGTGGCGAACATACCGTGCGTACCTGAGCCTTCTCCATTGCCATCGAAGCCGTGTGAACGGTCAACAAGTGTGCATGAACTGACACAGTGTTCCTCCAGAGAGGCTATCCACGAATGGCTGGGAGGGCCAAAGCCTCGTTGTGACACTGGCTCGGACCAGCTCCCCTACACGCCCGGTTGCTGGCCCGACCAAGAGTCCCACGTGTTTGATTCCTGCTAATTATATTGCGGGCTACTCGACGCCGCCGAGGGTCACGCAGAACACGGCCGTTCCTCCTTCCCCGATATCTCCTGAGTAAGTGAAAATACCCAGGACAGGCTGGGTTGGACTTGGTTCTCGGGCTTACACCGAACAGGGCCGTCATCTCCACGAGTCCAACGTATCCGAATTCCGAATATGGCCCGGTGATTGACATCATGAGTATACCCCATCAGCACCAGCCCTTTCTGCCTGTTTTCGCCGATGCAGTCACTCAGCACGCCATCCCTGCTATCCCACAGTCTCCCGCACCTCTCCGGCACAATTTCAGGGATGCCTTCGCTATACCCATCCTCCCATCCTACCCACTACCCGCTGTTCAGCCATTCGTCGAAAACCCCATAAGCACGCGATTTGGCGCAACCGCCGGACGACGAACCCATTTCCCCCGGAAACCTATCCACAACTACCATCCCAACAATGTCAGCTTCGCCTCGCCGGCCTATCACCAGCCCGGCAGCGCCACGGGTCCCCCACACTTCTCCCGCCGTCGCACGATCTTTGTGCAAAACCTCAGCCCAGCAACGAGTGACCTGGCACTGCGCGACTTCTTCCAGGACGCTGGGGTCGCAATCGAGCAATGCGAGGTGCCGCTGGACACGGAATCTGGACGCTGCAGAGGCTTCGCGCGGGTCACCTTTCGAACGGCCGAGGAAGCCAAACGCATAATCGCCCTCTACAACGGCTGCACCTTCCTAGGGGCCCGGATCCGCGTGAAGATCGACCGGAGCATGCTTCATAATGCATCAAGTCCCCCGCTAGACCCCGTCGGTCTCACCAAACCTACCACCAATACTAGCACAAGGAATCACAACACCCCCCGCCAAAGCTGCACGCCATTCAAACCCCCGACGGATACCGCTAAAAACCACCGCCGTGGTTCCACAGCGGAAGAAGATACACCACGCAACGAAACCGCAGCCACAACAACAGCCGCGGAGGACATCTCGCCTTCGGCGTCCCCCTCGTCTTCTTCCACTTCAACAGCCGTGAAACAAACCGACCGCTGTGGCCCACTGGTCGTCAACGGGTCTGGAACTGGACGCAGAGCTGTGGCGACCTAGTATCGCCCAGTTGGGCAGGTTCTTCGGTCCTAGCCCATATCTCCCAATACGGATTTTGGTCCACGGCTTGGAGGAGAGCTCCAAATGTCTGTTGCATGTAACCTTTTTGTTTTTTGTTTTTTTGTTGGGGTTCCAGCGTATTGGTTTTTCTGTTATTATCATAGGGTGCAGGTAGATCAGTATAGCTACCTAGTTAGGCAGGGACCGGGGGCGGGGGGGGGACTTCGAGGCGTTAGGGGTTCGGACATGGGCTGCTCTCTAGAGATTTTTTTTTTCTTGGAATTCAAGGGGGTTTTTGCGCGATAGAGAAAGACTAATTCATTTAAATCTGTTCATGTCACCCACTATTTCGAACTTAGATCAATGAACCAAGAAACGCCTTGGATCAGATAGCATTATCCTCTCGTGTCGCTCAAAAATGTGTCATGTCATCTATCAAATCTAATTCTGTGGGTCAACCCAACCCTGGCTGTCCTCGGCATCGGAAAGTGATTTCAGGAAACACACAAGGATCACATTAGGGTTATCTCGCATGCGATGTGAGATAATAAATTCCTCCCATGTCACCATCATAATCATCGTCGTCATCAAGAATAAAAACAATTCATCGTTTCATGGTCCCATCATCATGGGACTATACTCCAAACCAAACCCCAATCCAGTTAACAGTTTCATCAGGAGGCGCGCCTCGTCATCAGTCAATCAGTCAATCAGTTCATGTCAAAAAAAAATCATATCAAATGCGGATCATCAAGCACAAAACACCAAAATCGAAGCGAGAATAGTACAGTAAATACAGGTTAGTATCGATTGAGTAATCGAATGACAAATGCATACGGGAGCAGGGTAACAAACGCACATGCAGGAGGTAGGGCAAGGAGCGATACAGTAGGAAGGCGCGGGAAAAGAAAAAGGTGATGAGAGAAAAGGATAAAAGTACAGACGGAAAAAGATTCTTCCCATCGATTCCTCATGCAGGGTTGAAAATGCAAGATTGATGAAAAACAAACAAGCAAACAAAAATGGTCGTTTCATCTCGTTGGAACTCATGGCAGCAGGTATCATATGTGTTTGGTTAAGGTAGGTTAGGTTAGGTTAAGAGAGGTATCGTATGCTTCTTGAGGAAGGCGGGATAGGAGGGGCGAGAAAGGCGGGGGGGTAGCTAATGCATCCATTCTCGAGTCCGTAATAGGGCTCATTCGGGAGCATCTTAAGTTGTGCCTGGATAAGGGCAAGGGAAATGAGCAAAGCGGGCAAGCGCAAGAGCTTCATTTAGCGTGGTTGATTAATTCGGCGTAGAGCGGTTCAGGAATCTTGCGGACCAGCAAGACGGTCAAGGCAATGATCTCCTTGGCGTCGAGAGGAGGAAAGGAGCGGAGGATTTTGTTGGGACTGTCATGTGGGTGATCTGGATTAGCTCGATGGGTCTTATCAGGTAAGGGGGCATAGGGAAATGATAGGTTTTCATTGGTTTACGGTGAGTTTTTTGTGGTGTCTCAAGATGTGATGTTATGATGAGGTCATGATCAATAAACATACCTTGGACTCTCGAGAATCATATCTCTCATGCGGATCAATTGCGCAACGATGCATAGAATATTCAGATGTGGCCCGTACGCAAATAGGAAGTCCCAGAGATGCAGAACCTCCGGTAGGGGCGGCGTGCACGCGCACAGGGTCAACACGGAGGGGAATGCATACAACTCGGCTTGCAAGCCCTTGGAGAAGAGGTAGGCTGCTAATTTGGGCTCAACGATCTCCAAACATCGATCGACAAGTCGCAGACCCCGGTGGACGCCATCCATGGCTCCTCGAATGTAGCCCGGACATTCACGGAGGATGAAAGAGTGAAACAATGCGAAAGCCTCCACTTCACTGCGGGCGGCATATAGAAACGGAGCGCAGAGTACATTCATTCCCTGCACGTAAATAGCGGATTCATTTGTGACGCCAGGACTACCGAAAGCGCTGCTGGTGCTGTTGCTGATTACACTCCCTGGAGTGCTTCCAACCGGGGAGGGCTCTTCTGCTATGCTTGGAGGTGTATTGATAAGAAGCTCCATCTCGCGCCGACGACCGGTCGAGAGTCGCGGACGGACGCGACGCTTGCTCTTCGCATCGTGAAGCTTCCACGCAACGGCATTAAGGAGTCGGATCAGACTGGCTTCTGTGACGCGGCGTTTGAAAAGGGGATCGGTGGCTAGGGTGCGGAAAGTATCATTGCGAATCTTAGCGTAGGCGGGGGAACGGCCTCGGTGGATAAGTGACAGGTATTCGTCGGTCGATACGGGCGGCGTATCGAGGAGAACAAGCCAGAGGTAAACTCGGTAGGTAGACTAGCAACGCCCGACAAAAGTATTAGCGGACATGCTCATTACACGGTTGACTTGCTCTATCAGGTCACCAGGCGATTATCACTAGAACCTACCATGCCATCTGCGTCTGCTTCGACACGCGTCGAGAGGACAAGATAACGCAGCTCCTCTAGTCCTTCTTGGACGTTGCCATTTTGCGGACCGTCGCGCAAGAGCGACTCGAGCAACGACCGCTTGACTCCAAATCCGGACCCGGTCTTTCTACCGGGTCTTCGGTGCGCGGTGAGAATGGGAGGCTCCCGGGAGGAGGCGTCACTATTTGAACGTGCACGGCGATGTGTGCTGCGAAGCCGCACGGGGGAATCGAGTTGGGGTCCGGGCGCGGGAAGCTCCTCCGCGCCAGCCGAGAGGCGTCCGGATGAGGGAGGCGGAGGTGGATGGGAGGAGAGAATCTGATGGGACTTGATCTTGCGCAAGCCTCGCATAGTCCGGGGTGATGACGGAGACCGTGCCAAAGCAGCGAGAGTCAATTGGGCTTGAGTGGGCTGGGGGGAGGCAGCAGCAGAAGAGGAAGAAGGCGAGAAAAGTGGTACAGAGGATGTAGGACGTGTAGGAGAGAGGGAGGAAGAAGTCGGCGAAAGCGACATGATTAGGGGGGAGAGGGGGGAAAGGTCGATCGGGGAGTTCGAGGAGCAGCAGCAGGAGGAGGAGGAGGAGGGAGAGGATCAGCAAGGACGGCTATTGGGAGCGCAGGCGACACATGAAACCATCTTCCTGGTCAGACTGAACAGACCAGGGAGAGGCTGGGGGAGGTGGAGGGGGAAAGGGGAGGGGGAGGGGTGAAGAAAGGGAAGGAGTGAAAGAATGCAGGTTCAACTTGAAGTTGAATTTGAAGAGAAGGTGGTGAGTGAATAGTGGTGGTAGTGGTGGTGGTGGTGGTGGTGGTGATGTGGAGCTCCCGGGTGTCGTTAGAAAAGAATGCAAGTAATTTTTTTTTAGTAGGAAGAAGAAGTAGATAGTCAGAAAAGGGAAAGAAAAAAACACCAAATAGCAAAGAAGTTGTACTCAGTACTGCATAGAGTTACTGTCAGTCCGTCAGTTCAATCAGTGATCAAGAATCCGACAGTTCAGGTTCCATTCTGAACTTGGCGAACTTGATTGGACTTTGGACTAGTCTCGTTATAGTCTCGTTAGTTCTTTAGTTTCCTGGCACTACTGCGAGTTAGTTGTTTTTTAGTTCAATCCATCCACCACCATTATTATTATTATTATTACCGATTGAATCTGAATTGGATATTATATTAAATGCACGAGAAGGCTGGCCCTCGCATGCCAACTCTAAATGATCATCTCCTTCGTGCTTTGCCCCCCCCCCCCCTTGATTGACAGCTTCTCGTGCCAGCCTGACTCTAGGAAAGAAAACCTAAATTCGGGCCGATGTGGGGACCCTCGATAACATCAATCAATCTCAAATTTGCTCCTCTCATCTCCACACGCAGAATAAATACACTCAAATCAATAACAATCATATCGTCTACTTGCAACTGCATGGCTGCCAGAGCCACTATCCAGTCGAAAATCTGATGCGTTGTGTCTCCGTACGCCATGAGCCAAAAGAGAAAGGGAAACAAGAATCACAACAAAATCAATCCGTTAGGCATCGCGTCGTGTCGATTGGTTCGTCTCTGTTCCGCCCACCAGCCCACTGACGAATTCTTGATACCGGAAGACCTCTCCACGCTTACCCCCTCCGGTGCTTCGTACGCCCTTGCCCCCAAATGCCCGACGGCTTGTAAACCCATTCAGCACGTCTCGGATCTCCCGGTCGGTGAGCGGCCGATCTCCGTCCTCGGGAGCGGTATGCATCAGAGCGTCGCACAGCTCCTCCACGTCGATCTGCCCGCTGTCATCCTCGTCAAAGGCCGCCAGGGCGTTCAAGAGTTCTCGTTGGGCAGATAACGGGGCGAGCAGTTGTGAAAGCGTATTGAGGAAGGTAGGAAAGTTGATCGTAGATGCCCCTCCAGGCGGGAAGAATTGCGAGAGTGCAGATGCGTCTTGCCCTAATTCAGGCGTGCTTGTCAGCCATGCTATGATGAACAAAGATGAGGAAGTGCCACTTACCCACGTTTACCAGGACATCAGCCACATCATCCTTGTTGACAAAGCCGTCATTGTCCCGGTCCAGGACTTGGAAGGCCTCGCGGATCTCTCGCAACTGGGCCGGCGAGAGCTGAGCGGCCGTATCCGAAGATCCTGCCATTATATGGGTGGCATTGGTAGCCATCATCGTTGGGGAGGTGTCTGGGGCGCTGCCCCCCCGCGTTGGCGACAGAGGCACCTCGCGTGCCAAGCGCGATTGAGCGACCGGGCTGCGATCTTGAAGAGGTGGGGAGGAGCCTTCATCCTCATCTGCGACCGTGTATGATTCCTTGAGCTTGCTGGGAGACGTCACCGGCGTGTATCCGCGACCGGGGGAGCTGCCAGGAGTACTGGGTCGCGCTTGCGGAGGTGAGTTGGAAGTAGATGGACGGCGGAAGGGGGATGCTCGAGGAGAGCCAAAGGATAAGGGTGACGGCCGAAAAGGCGCATTGGAGGTGACCTGGGTCGGTGTCCGATAAGCGGGTGCTTGAAACCTGGGAGGTTGGGTTGAGAATGAACACCTACCATGACGGAGAAATGACGGGCTGGATGAAAGCCAGTCTGGGATGGAAGCGGGAAGGATTAAATTAAGGCTGGATACAAAGCGAGTGACAGCTGGACAGAACTTGGAATGTAGAAATGAAATGCAACTCGAGCTGAGTAACTTAGTGCAGTCCACGGTGATGCAACAATCTGCCCAAAAAGGGAAAGCACCCTAAACAAACAAGGCCCGGCGGTGAGTCGGCCCGGCACCGATGAGGAGACCCGCGGGGAAATCATGACATCCCAACCGCTGTTGCCATAGAATCGACCGGATCCATTTTCCTTTGGTTTCCCCACGGTGAAGATTGGCCGTGCATAGAACTACTTCAATAGTGCTTTTGTCAATCTCGTGATAATTCTGTTTGTCATGTATGAGTACGAACCAGAAAATTGTCTAGACCTCTAATATTCCGTCTTTGCATCCTCTCTCACTATACCTTAATTAGAGTGCCACACAAGAGGCCTTAAGTCTGTCTGTGCTGCAACATCCTCTTTCGGCCGACAACAGATTGTGAGCGAGTTTCCAGATTAAGTATAAATATTATGTGGATATATGACACTAAGAAGAGAAAGTATACAGAGCCTCGACCATGAATCTCACCAAGCGCGTATGAAGTAAGAGTACAAAGGGCAGGGAACTCGAAAAAAAAAGTGTAAATCCTAGCAATCGCTGTCGTCACCCGTAACCGCATCCTGAAGATAAAAAGATGAAAGCAAGCACACACAATGGAGCTCAGAAGAAGGAACAGGGCGAAGTAAGGGAAACCTGTCTAGAGAAGGAGCAAAGAGATGCAAGATGGGAGATAATTTGGCTTGTGGTGACGACCTACAACGTCAGCAGAGTGGCTAGACCTATGCTAAAAGTGACAAGGCCCCATGTTGACCACTGCGGCAACGGAGCAACCAAGCCGGAGCCGGAGCTAATTCTCTCGGACCCGACAGTGATATTGACATTGGCAAAGTTATCCCCACAATCAGTGTTGATAGCCTCAGCAGAAGGTATATAAGAATTGACAAGGGGCTGGCCGTCAACCTCGGCCCAGGTGGCAAATAGAGCCAGAGTAGCCTGAAGGCATTTATTGCAGGTTGGCGAGGGGGAGGCGGAGATAGTGCTTCCATAGGCGAGGAAGTAAACATCGTAATCGGCGGAGTTGGTGGTATTACTGATCGCATCCACAAAACAATAATTCTTGGTCGAAGGTGATTGAAGACATGTAGCACGATAAAGTGGCTCATATGTGATCATGTCGGTATACGCATTGGTGACCAGGGGATTGCCGGCAGAGTAATCCTTGCCGCAAACATCCTCCTTAAGCAATTCGACTGCGAGCGCAGAGAGAATGGACGCGCAATCGGTGACATTCGAGGCACATGCGGTGTCAAGGAGTTCTGAGGTCAGCGTAGCCGATGTGAGAACATGGAAGAAAGAGCTGGAATCACGCAGGAGCATGGAGACGGCATGACAGGAGGTGATGGTAGAATTGGAAAGGAAAGAATTGAAGAAGTTGGGGCATGTGGCGGTTGTGAAGTTGTTCGAGAGGCTGGTATCGAAAGCAGCTGGAAAAGAGTCCGAATCGGAAGACGCTCGGGTCAGAAGGTGAGTTTTGTGTTGTTGCGCAATAGCAGAGTCCTCGTCTGCAACGAGAATTGAGAGACCGACGATATTATTGGGGTTGAAAGTTACAATATCTCGCCTGGCATGCTGTATTCGTCCGGCAGAATTTCCCCGAAGTAAAGTATCATGGAGGTCCACCCCGCCAGCAGACGCGATGCTTGAATCTGGTGCTAATGCCCGAGAACCTGGCGAAAGGAGTGGAACAGCTGCTAAGACAGTCGGGATGGTAACGAAACTCCATAAAAGAATTGAAAGAAGTAGCATCAGCCGGGAGCGACCAAGCTGCAGATAAATGCGCCGTTCTGACCATTGACCCAAGTTAGATTGAAGATCCATATTATATTAAATGAGGAAGCGAGCGATGCAGCCCTAGACGGGCCCCCGGGTTCGGGGAGTGATATTGCAATTGACTGGTGCAAGAACGTGAAATATAATCGATATGAATCAGAGAACTAAGTAAAGAACGTGCGATGGTCATCGAGAAAACATGGTCTTATCCTCTGAGATGGCTGGGCGAGGTTCGAGTATAGAGACGTACTGGGGGGCACGGAGCAAGGAGGAAGTCAGTGGTTTGCCGGGAAGTATGCAGAGAGCGGCAGGGAGGTGATTTCTTTAAACCATTCTGGTGTCCACCCCGGAGTTGAACTGATGCTCTTGGGAGTGAGCACGATGGCAAAAGCACGAAGTGAAAGAGAGACAGGGAAAAAATAAAAGGAAAGGATGGGGATGGGTCAAGTGTAGCCAGGGGTGTGTGTGGACTGTGTGCGTGTGGCTGCCGCGACGAGACGAGACGGCGTGCCTGGCATTGAAGCCACCCATCACCGAGACGGGTTGAAGGGCTTTTGCGGCGTGCAAATGCCGCCTTTCCTGCAGTGAGAGAGTCGGATCCCAAAGAACCAAGAGACAATAGAAGTGTCTGGACCGGTCAAGGGTTATTCTTAGCTGCGGGTCTCATTGGACCGTGCCGAGTCAGTGCGACGGCATGGACTTCGAGGAATGGTCTGACAGAAGATCAAGAGCCGACAACACTACTTTCGAGGATATAGTATCTCCTTTCCAGTTGAAAAGGGGTTATCCATGAACAGAAGTAAACATTCATGAACGTGCACCTCATCTTCATCCTGACTTCTGCTGACTGCATGGCTCTTGGGAAGGACGGGGGGGGGCGAAGTCTGCTTGTCTCGAGTCATCTTCATGTGTGAGGATTTTTCATGACTTCCAATAAAGCACAAGAGAAGGACAGCACAGACCGGGCTGCCAAAAGACGAGTATGTGAATAAGTGGTCATAAGCAATGTCCGTCAGAGCTCGGAGTTCGTTTCCAAGGTTAATGGGAAATGAAGGGGAAAGGGTAGTTGCAGTGTCGACACTAAGATGCAAGGCGGCGAGCAAGATTAGCCGTGGTTGGCACGGGCTACAGGTCGGCCTCAGGAACCAATCGCTGACAACGGCAATGGGGCTCCGCCGCTCGCCTATCGCCCGACCCAGTTCCAAAGAGCGGATCTCTTCCACTACATCCATGATTGATATATCTCCATCATCGAAACTTGAACCCACCATCCCTTCCCCTCCCCCTCCCTCTTACCCCTCTCTTCCTCCACCAGTTCCTCCTTCATTTCATCATGGCCGCTGATCCCTTTGTTCCCGAAACACGGGTTCTCGCGGTAGCTAGCCATGTACGTGACTCTCATCTCTCATCTTTTTTGCACACAGACCCTCAAATAGTCAGCTGACCTAGCCTGACTAGGTCGTCTACGGGTATGTGTCATAATATCGTGGGGAATAACGGATGCTGTCTACCGCATTCATCTCTTCCCCGCATATACAAACGATAACACTATTCACTTCTTCCGACTCAAGGCTAACTGGCACAGATATGTTGGCAATAAAATGGCCAGTGTGGTCATGCAGCTACTGGGTTGTGATGTTGCCGCGTTGAATACAGTGCACTTCAGTCAGTTGTTACGATATTTAGATCGAACCATCCAGGCACAGTATTGACCACCTTACCAGGCAATCACACGGGCTACAGGCAATTCAAGGGGACAAGAGCAACGGCTGAAGAGATTACCGCGCTTTACGAGGGCCTGACCCAAAGCCACCTCACTGACTTCGATGTGATGCTCTCTGGCTACGCCCCCAGCGCTGCCGCAGTGGAGGCTGTCGGGGCTATCGGGATGGATCTTCAGCGCAAAGCAGAGAAAAACCCAGGCTCATTCTTTTGGGGTGAGCTCGCTCATTGATTTACCTTGACGGGTCAACTAATCGTTCGCAGTCCTGGACCCGGTCATGGGCGATCAAGGCCGACTCTACGTTAACAACGATGTCGTCCCTGCATACAAGGAGATGATTCACCACGCAGACTTGATCTTACCGAATCAATTCGAAGCCGAGTGAGACCTTCTCTCTGCCCAGCTCCTTGATCCGAGCAGCCACCTGATGTTCATGGATAGGGTCCTATCCGGAGTCAAAATCACCTCTCTCAGCACTCTCGCAGAAGCCATCACCGCCATTCACGCCACATACAAGGTTCCCCACGTTATCATCACATCCGTCCAGATTTCCAACCTCTCAGATTCATCATCCGCATCGTCCACTACGTCTTTCGCAAACACACTCACCGTGATCGGTTCCACCACTCGCTCTGATGGCTCTCCGCGTCTTTTCCGCGTGGACGTTCCTGCACTCGACTGTTATTTCAGCGGGACTGGGGACATGTTCGCAGCCCTGACGGTGGCTCGGCTCCGTGAGGCCGTCTTTGCCGCTGACCCTGCCCTCCGCACCACCAAATCCTGGGTCTCCCCAGATGACGTCCCCGCCACGGCATTACCATTGGCACGATCCACCGTCAAGGTCCTAGCCAGCATGCACTGTATCCTCGAGAAAACCATGGAAGCGCGTAATGCAGAGCTCCAAGCAGAAGTCGTCTCCAACGGGGACGTGCTTAGTGAAGAAGAAAGGAAGAAACAAGATCACCTGCGCGAGAGCAAAGCCGCAGAGGTGCGAGTAGTGCGACACGTCCAATTCCTGCGCGAGCCGACGGTGGAATTCCCGGCGCAGGAATGGAGCAAAGACGATCTGCCGGCACAATTCCGGTGAAAGCTTTTTCTGTAAATTCAATCATGGGGTCTACATAGATCGAGCATAGATGTTGTTCAGCATGGGCAGGGCTTGGCTTTTGAGGTCTATAGACGATAGACTTTCATTCAAGGACTAGATGGTGAGGAAAGTATGAGGTATAGAACGTGAACTGTATGATGGCAGTGTTTTAAGTTTATATTTATTTGATGAGGTATACGCAATCGACACGGTCTAATCTTTTAATGCAAAAACCCCTCCAAGCGGTTTGCTTCTCTGCTTCTGCCCCAAGTTTTCCAGGCATATATAGAAAGATCTTCTTGATCTTCCAGAATCATCATCATCATATCAATTCATATTAACAATATTTATCAGTTGGTACCAGTGCTGCCGAAACCACCAGCTCCACGAACACTCTCCTCCAACTTCTCCACGACAGTCACTTCAGGCGTATAGATCTGGCACAGAAAAGAAGCGCACGCGTTAGCCAAATTCCTCAAAATACCCTGTCCCTCTCAAGGGTAAAAAGAAAGGCGGTGGGGTTGACTCACCCGCTCCAAAACCAACTGCGCTACACGATCCCCCTTCTTGATCTCGAAGTCCACATCGGAGAAGTTGAACAACAACACCTTGACCTCGCCGCGGTAGTCGGCATCGATGACGCCCGCGCCGGTGTCGATGAAGTGCTTCGAGGCGAGACCACTGCGGGGCGCGATGCGGCCGTCTAGGGGGAAATGTCTGTGTTAGTTCTGTGTTTTCGTAACGAGTTATGGAGAGTGGGGAGTTCTTCTCTGCTCGACTTGAGCTAGATCCGGTGGTGGGTTACACGTACAGGTTCCCTCGGGCACGGCGATGGCGATTCCCGTGTCTACGAGGGCCTTGCCCTTGGAGGGGATGACGGTGTCCTTGGCGCTGTAGAGGTCGTAGCCAGCGGCGAAGGCGGAGCCGCGAGTCGGGGCGCGACCCGAGGGGGTGAGCTTCTGGACGAGGAGGGCGGGGAGAGGGTTAGCGATGGAGCCCATGTTGATGGATGTTTGCTGGGGTTGTTGTTCTGCGGTGGTGGTGTTGGGCTTTGTGCGTTTGGCGAGGGGAGAGGAGGGCGCGGAGGGAGGTTCGTGGGCCGCGGCGGTCGTTGTGTTGTTGGTGGTGGTGGTAGTTTCGGCGGGGGGAGGAGGGGTGGTCTCCTTGGTCATTATCTTGTAGATTGGGTTAGGAGATTGTGGGAATGAGGTTGAGAAGAGATGCGTAAGAGATACTTCGCTTCTTCTATATTTTCTGTGAGGAGGAAGAGGGGAAGGAAGAAGATTTGCGGTGTGTCGAAGCGGACGGTGAAATGCGAGATTATTGAGGAGAGCTTTCATGGTGGGACGCGTCTGGCGGTCAAAACGCGACGAGCGCGTTAAGTGGTTTTGCTGCGTGCATTTGCTCTGGCTGGCTGCTGGGTCAGTTTGCATTGTTTGATTCATATGACTAAGAACAGGGTACTAACTACATTAGTTCCCGCGGCTGTATTTCCCCCCCGCCCCCCCCAAAATGTAGTTAACAGCCGACGCCCCGCAAATTTAGCCCCTATGGAATGCTGTGCTTAGCCTCGGTTGAGCCTGTCGTGTACCTGTGCCTTATTAACCACCTCTGACTGCCCGCCCTTCAACCATGATACATGTTTCTAGCTCACAGCGACCCCTTGTCTCGAACTACAGAGGCATAAAAGTGGCGTGATCATACCGGCTATCGCAATCTCATTATCCATATAACGCGTCGCGCCATGGCTGGAGCCGTGCGCCAACCGATCGATGTTCCCTCCTTGGAACGCTACCTCGATCAGAATGTCCCAGAGATTAAGACACCGGTAGATTTGAAGCAGGTAGCTTATCTCTTGACTAGCATTCAATCTTGGGTCATCAAGCAGATTACTAATTTCGACATCAGTTCGGTTTCGGACAATCAAATCCGACTTACCAGCTCACAACCGCCGACGGCAGCAAGTATGTCTTGCGGAAAAAGCCGCCAGGCAAGCTGCTCTCCAAGACGGCGCACAAAGTCGAGCGTGAATATAAGATTATTCATGCTCTGGAACATACAGATGTGCCTGTGCCCAAGGCATACTGTCTCTGTGAAGATAGCGATGTGATCGGCACGCCTTTCTACATCATGGAGTTCCTCGATGGTCGTCACTTTACTGACCCTGCTATGCCCGGCATCGACCCTGCTGAAAGGACTGCACTGTAGGTGACTGCCTGCCCTGTTGGTTGTCGATTCGGACTCTGCAGGGTTCCTCTCATTTGGCAAAAATGACCCTCAAGCTAAGATGATATAGATGGCAGGATGCGGTTCGGACCCTAGCCAAATTCCACCGAGTCGTTCCCAAGCTGGTTAGTCTGGAACGCTTCGGAAAACCGTCGGGCTACTACGATCGTCAGATCGCCACATTCACCGCAGTATCTCGCGCTCAGGCCCAAGCGGTGGATGTGGAGACCAAGGAACCGGTCGGTGAGCTGCCTCATTTCATGGACATGGTGCGGTTCTTCTCCGATAAGGCCACCCAGCCTCAGGATCGGGGCACGCTCGTGCACGGCGATTATAAGATTGATAATATGATTTTCCATAAATCCGAGCCTCGTGTCATCGGCATCCTGGATTGGGAGATGGCCACGGTGGGGCATCCGCTGTCAGACCTCTGTAATCTGACTAGCCCATACTTCTTGGAAGGAACGGATCATAAGACAGACCAGTTCCAGCCCAACGCGGTCCCTGGCTTGCCCACACGAGCCGACTGCATCCAATGGTACCAAGAGGTATCTGGCTATGACCCTACGCCCGACATCCCATGGGGGGATGCATTCTTCTCATGGCGAAGTTCAGTCATCATGCAGGGTATCAAGGCGCGGTTTGCTCTTCGGCAGGCCAGTAGTGCTCGCGCGGTGGAGTATGCCAGGAACACCAATCCATTTGCGCTGAAGGCGTGGGAGCGAGTCAAACAGGTGCAAGAACAACTGCGGCAACGGGCCAAACTATGAAACCATCAATTGCGGTCGTATGACTGTCTCCGAAATTTGGAGGAAATTATTGAAGGAAGGAATGAAGGAAGGACGAAGAAAGGGTGCATCATCTTAAACCGATATACTGTGGAACTATGTCCCTATGTAATACACAAACTTTAATCCAAATTGGAGAAGTTTCTCAAGTAAGGTGTCTCGCCAAATCAAGGGTTTGATACGTGGACGGAGGACTCGCCGATCTCGTTGAGTTTTGAGACAGAACAACGATTTCACGAAGAGGGATGACCGAACTCGGATGTAAATTGAGTGTGTACGCTTAGAAGAGCATAAACAAAAGAAAACTAACAACGATATCTGTGCGTCAGTCAGACTGCCAGCCCGTGCCAACGAACAGGCATGAGCAGCAGTAGTTTGAAAGTACACGGTCCGAACTTATTTCCTTTTTCTGTCTCAGTTTATTTTCTGCGTATTGGGGAAGAATCATGGAGCCCTCCGAGGTCCGTCGACGGGCTAGTCAATTAGTTGAGTTAGATTAGTCTAACTGTAGGAAGTAGGTATCTAATAGGAAGTAAGCCAGAGAGTGTTAGGTTCCAATTGGAAGCGGATGACGCCGGATTTCCTCGTATATGCGCTTAGCAAGGAACAAACCCGGGGCCAGCACAAGTGTACATCCACACTACGCAGTCTACGCAGCACAGTACATACAGTAGTAAGCCTTGGAATTTCCGAGGAGTCAGCACAATCCGGCACCAACACATTTCTCCCCGGTTGAGGAAATCAATTGGGTGCGGCTCCCCCTTGCCCCCGGCTCCTGGGCTAAGTACCTAGGTACTCTAAGGGGTCTGAGTACGCCCTGTAAGCCTCAGTTTTGGGTCCCGCGCCCTTGCTTCTTCTCAGCCTCAAGGAAGCGTCGGAAATATGTGTGCTGTATGGATATGTTATGCCGTGAAACTACTACTACTACTACTACTACTACTACTACTACCACTACTACTCCTACTCCTACTCCTACTCTTACTACTACTGACTTTTCAGTATTGCAGTAAGGAGGACGTTCTAAAGATGATCGAGTCAATCGTAATCGACACAGCGTTCAGCGCTTTGAAAACTATGTATTGCGTCGCTTGGCAGTGCAGTGTTGCTTCTCGTTCCAGTAGGAGCTACCGCTAACTTACCTCTGCGTACAGGACCTTTGCTCATTCTTTCCTTCTCGCAGCGTGGTCCAAGCTCGGGGAGGACCTCGGCAGGATCACATCCCTAACAGATGTCGGTGGGTAAAGTAAGAAACGGGAGGGCGCAACTTAAATCAACTAGAATATTTGGTCCACAGACCTCACTTTAGTTGCATAATAAGTACGGAGTGCTGTACTTTACCATCCACTTTCCTCCCCGATGTGATTCTCCTAGGGGAAATCACACAACACAGGACATTATAAAGGCAAGGGAAGAGAGACAGAAAAATGTAAGTAGATCTGACATACATACATAATGGGTCGTAGCGTCGCTTGATGGATGGGAACTATCTATCCTTAACTCCGTTTGGAACCAAACCCCTCTCGACTATGCTCCATGTAAGAACTAAGCATGTAAGAGGATAGATAGTTAGCACCTCGAATTCCCACCCACTGCCCCTCGGTCTGAAGACCTGAAGGGCCCCAACTTTCCATCCATAGCGACAAATCAAGTTAATTGGGTCCGGAAACTTGGGACCTCGGACTAACCCATAGACATTCGGTGTTCCGCCCCAGCGACGAGAACCTCAGGCATGAATGAACATGCCCGCCGCGACTTTCGCTTTTTGCTGTTTACGGTGATTATGGACTGTGCTAGAGTACTAGTAGGGAAGGACTACGACAGGATAGGTATCAGCTTCTTCCCGAAGGATTCGGGAAGTCTAAATCTTAGGGCAAGGGAAGGAAGTTGTCCGAATGAAAATCTGGCATACGTACGGAGACAGTAGTATCCAAAGCTGTTTGATTAGGTGATTACTTAACGAGTTTACTCCATGATACCGTGAGTAAACACGGGATCTCATTCCTTTGACTAGCTTGGCTAGGGCTAGTTGGCTAGTTTTTGATAGCCGGATAGTATATTAAATGAGGTTCAACCGAGCCGGAAATAATTTTCTTTTCCTTGGTGGGGGAGGGAAAAGCGAGAGAAAAGAAAAAGGATGGCAATTCGCCCGCCTTGGATCGAACATTCCCCCCAATTCCTATACTTTTCTAGCACACTTCTTGCCGCCTTGGTGTCGATCAGATTGGGTGATGCAGCCGAAAGAACGGGGTGGTTGAGGAGTGAAGTGACACATGGATGATGGTACAGTAAACGGTGGGGCCGCCCTCGGTGTTTAATGTTTGATGCTGCAGTGATGCGGGCAGTTATCAAGATTCATGGAGGAAAGGTATTATTGATTGGAAGTAGGGTAAGTCGAACGCTTATTGTTGCGTGTGGGTGAGTGCGGATATGCGTATGCGAATATTTTGTTTCGGGTTGTGTGCTGCTTACTCTGTACTGTAATAATAATGCTATTAAGCAGGGTAAGTTTAAGGCCCACCCACACACACATAGTAGCCGGGGAATATAAGTACCGTCGACGATCCATCCGCGAATTGGTGAACTGAACCGTCAGTTTGCTTCGGCGCGGGCCGCCTCTAGTCCCTATCCGGTCGCTTCTATCGGATGACATGTCGCATTGCACGACCTTCTTCTCGTCCATGTTGGGCGGATGGTTGTGTGGTTTCTTACCTTTCTCTGGATTCTACCTACCAATACTCTTCTCCTTGCGGCTGGTGGAAGGGGAGTTGGGAGGGGGATGTCCAGGGCCCTTCAATCGGGCTATTTCTTTGCTTCTTCCCTTGTTCTCGACGAAAACAACTTGTTTTTCTCGCGGTTTCCGTCGTGCAGAGTAACCCATCTGGACTGGATCTGTTGCTTCCTCAAAAGTCGTGACTCGACCACAATAGCTTTGACCCAGGGGATTGGCTGTCTAGCTTGACACGATGGAGGGGTTTTTGTTACTCGTAGCTTTGGGGAGGTGGTACTTGGACGTGAGTACTGTAAGTCGATGGTGGTCGAGGCTTCTGACTGGGGCAGCTGGGCAAGATGGTTGTCCAGGGCACTGCACTGGCAGAGGCGGAATGCTGCCGTAAGCACCCCAAGGAACCAATGGTGGCCATCATTCTTTTCATGGGGTGCGGTACTTTTTCTTTCCCCGACGTAGCCTCCTGCTGTGCTGGCAGATGGTCAGTACTGTACATCCATGGAGTACAGTACCTCCATATCGGGGACGGGAAGAACAGGCTAAATCAATCAAATAATCGCCTCCAAGTACTACTTAGTATTAGCTTTCATCACACTTGGAGAACCTTCAGCCCTCACCAAAGAATAATGTCGTCATACAGAGTGGGTTCCTAGAGGTTAGTGTATGTGTGGTGTGTGCTATCTTGCCAACCCTGCAGGTGAGAATGGACCTCCGGCACAGCGATCTGCCTTCTTCAGCTGCTGGTCGCTGAAGTCGGACCCCGCTGGCCAGCAGTACGAGTAGTGCTGTAGCATTAGGCTTTAGCACCCTAGCAGTAGCAGTAGCAGTAGCCGCAACAACAGCCATCATTACTTCCATGGGTTCTTTCTTTGTTGCCCGTTGTGAAACGAGCATCGATCATTTGGTGCACTGACGACGAAGTGGGGAGGGGGAAGGGGGAAGGGAGGGGCGCGAGGAAAGAAGGAAAAGCGCGTGGGGCCGGGACTGGGCTACGACCCGATCATCTGCAGAGTGACAGTTGACAGTCTCACCAGACTCCAGAGTAACCACGCCTCAATTACTCCGGGTCTTAGCCCACGGAAGAGCTTGAGAAGGGAAGGGCAAGAGCAGGGCGGTCGGGTCTGTCTAGTGAGTATTTACAGTATTTACAGTATTTACCCATATTGCAACAATATAACTCAAACATTTTGAATAATCATTTCCTGTACAGCACAGTATACCCTGTCAAGCCCAGGAGACTTCACCACCTGGCACTGCGCTCCAAAGACCTGCCTAATTGGGGATAGAGGATTGGCTGCACATCAGATCAGGATTGGATGCACACAAGGGGAGAGAGGGACCGATAGGCATCAAGCATTTTTCTTGTTCTGCTTTACATATTTGACTCTCTTGGTGTTGCTTTTTTTTTTTTTTCCATCTCCCATCTTCTTATCCCATGCTTATCCGGAATTGAACTCCAGACAGCCAAGCGTAGAATGGATAATCAGGTCTCTCGTTGAGCCGGGAGAGGAAGAATTGTCTTAATAATGTCTTCAGTCCGAAGTTCTTTATTGGTTATAGCTACCTTAACTAACGTCCGTCTCAAGAACCATTCCTACATGGGCTAGTTGAAGGTCGTGGTGTAGATAACCGTTTCCCGCCCAACCCCTCAGAGACCCATTCCGATTCATGGTTCTGGGATTCGACGGGTCGAAACCAATGCCGAAGAGGTCAAGCCTGTAATCACTAACCGTCCAGAATACGAGTGCAGCATTCTAGCAACAATATTGTTGTTCTTGTTGTTATTGTTGCTGTGGGTATTGTAGTTGTTATTGTTGTCGGTGACAGTATTGTTGATGATGCTAATGATGAAATGGCCGTACGATAACTGGAAGAACCGGAATAAACAGGGAGTGGTCGAAGTGGGACACAACAAAGCTGACCAGAACTGACTGACTTTTTGTTCCTGTTCCTTTCTTCCCTTCCCCTCCCATTCCTCTTTGTACTCAGGACCATGTATCCTCAATCCTGCCTGCGGCTACTGGCTAGGTTCGATAAGATGGGGCCTTCGGAATCGGCACAGCTTGTTAGTGCCTATTCGCAACTACTGGGCCTCAATCAATCTATTTACTACCGAGTCAATAGTCAGTCATCTCCGTAAAGAATTCAACAGTCAGACCGCGATTAGTTTAAATTTTTTGTTTTTGGCAATTTATAGTGGTTGAAAGTTGTTACATCATTCTTCTTCTTCGAGACTCATTCGTTCTAAATGCGACCTGTTCGCAAGTGCGGTCGCTGCTGCTGCTGTTTGCTTTTTAATTCCTGGTTCTGATGGATGCTGCCTGCCTCGGGACTCTTTCTCACATAATTGGTTATGAGAACCCCTGTGCATAATGAAGGACTCAATGGGTGAATGAATACCTAAAAAGCTCTCCCGTGCCGTCTGTGTTACCGAGCCAGAAGGATTCTGTCCAGCAAAGCGAAGTGGAGGTTTGGGTACTGACTGAGATTCGTTCCGAGGCGGTCAGCCATCAAACGACTGCACGGGCAGCAGCCTTGTCGCCTGAGGTATGCTACCCAGTACGACTGTTGGCTTAAAATGGATAGACGATCACTCGAAAAATGAAAAAAACGAACAAGTAAATCATGATGCAGCTACGGCTATAGAGACTTGAGACATTGAGAAACGGAAGCAGAAATCTCTGCCGATCGATCGAGAATCCCCTCGATTTGAGACGATCGCCCTGCGTGGAAGAAGTAATCTGAAGGCCACCACCACCACCACCATCCACCTTATCAGCAGTGCTGGCTTCAGCCCAGATGAAAGGTGGCGGCGGCAAGCCAAACGCACTTTTCCCCTCGCCGCCAAGTTCTACGACGGTTCTGTGCAGATGAACAATTCAGCCTCTTCACCTGTGCCCGCGATTGACTGCCAATCATTGACTGCCATTCAGAGAGCCTCATATGGGTGGAGCCTCTTTTCGGTTTAGGCTGACTGGGTCAGCCTCGTGGACGTGGCATTATTCATTCTTCCTTTTTCTTCTTCTTGTTCTTCGGTGCTCGCCTTGGTTAAAGGAGGGGACCTGAAGGAAGGAATGATATTCGAGAGTTGAACATCAATTTTTCTCGCAGATCTCCAATGTGATACACTGCTTTCTTGCGCGTAAGGTTCATTCCGAGTAGGAGTCCACAATACCAGCAGATGTCAATAGTAGGTCCTCCTCTTTCCCGGCGATTGTCAGCTTCTCAGTCGTGGGGAGACTCACCCCACTTACCTCTGTTTGCCTGCTGCAGTGGCGCGTCTGGGAGTCAGCTTTCAGTCACTCTCTCAACGCTTCTTCAGGGCCTCCTCCCTCTTCTCCCCTTTTGTTTTGACGCAGGTGGAGCTTCACTGCGAAATTGGGACAACCCCCGGAAAGGTTGATCATCGTGATTGTGATTCTCATGACTGGCAGTCAAACTTTGTTGCGCGCACCCACACTCACACACACACCATCTTATTAAAGGGGAGTGCCAGATAGAGACAGAAAGGGGAGAGCCAGCCAGCCAGCAGCCCAGCCAGCCCAGCCAGGCAGACAAATAGAAGAGGGTCGGGTCATTGCCAGTCAATAACTCGCAGTTGGGGAGGGGATGCCACAATACGAGAGAAAAAGAAAAGGAAAGAGGACAGACGGGCTAGCTAACTTATCACTCACTAAGATACTTCTAATCGAATTTGGGTCTTCTTCTCATTATGATTGACAGACTATTTCTGTCCACCTTATGATCATAGCTGATTGATGAATGTTGTGATGTTGTGGTGATGGCTTTTGGCAGGACTAGATGCTACTAGTGGACTCCGTACGTAGAAGCCTGGAGCAAGGAACTTGTCCTGTCGTTTGTCTCTTTTGTTGTTTCTCCACCCCGTGTCTTTTTGCCAGGCCGGGCTCGGGCTGGGTGTGGATCGCCTTTCAGTCAGCGGCTTTTCCTACGGTTCCTTCTCCTCAATCCCACCGCGAGTACTGTACCACGGCATGAACGGCCTCGACTTTGGAACTGAGGGAGGTAAGTTAAGGTAGTCAGTCAGGTAGTCTAGTCAGTCAACACTAGACTAACTATCTAACAATTAACTCTCCGTCTCCGTCCCATTATTCCATTCCATCTCATCCCAGCCCTTCCCATCCCATCTTGTCCCATCCTGTCCCTCATCTCCTTACCCCATTCCATTCCATCCACTCACCATAATTTCTCAGCCATCCATCCATTCACCCGTTATTGTGTGGGTTTTCTTCTTCCACTTCTGCTTCTTTACTCCTTCTTCACCTTGTTCCCTTTCTTGCTTCTTTCTCTTCTGCCTCTAACCGGATCCTTCCTTTCGGTTCTGCCGTTTCCCACGCTGCGGTTGCTGCCTTTGTGCTCTTGACCGCTCCGGCCGTACCCTGAACCTTTTTTCGTATTCTATCCTGTTTTATCTTATCCTATTTTATTTTATTTTTCTCTGCTTTTTTTTTTCTTCCCCCCTTTCCTTTTTCATTTTGATTTACCGTATTTCATTTTGTTTTCTCTTTTTATTTTTCCAATTCTCACCTGCCAAGCGCGTCATAATCCCGCTGGCTCGAACTATCAGCTCTATCGGCCACTATTCTATCGTGTCTGGATTACTGCCGGCCACCACTATTCTGACTTAATTACCTTTACCTTTGTGCTTCTTCGCTTTTGTTGATCTTCTACATTCATCTAGTCCTGATTTCATTTCTCTTCTGCTCCTCTTCCTCTTCTAGCTGCTGCCATTGCTTATGATCACTGCAATTACAACCACAATTACAACGGTTACTGCTATCACCACGAGTCCCGCCGTTGCCGTCGCTTACTCCTGGCGCCGTTAGACGATGATTTTCTCCTCATGACCTGATGCTCGCTTACTTGCACCTACTCCTCCTCCTCCTCTTCTTCTTCCACCTTTCATCAGACCAGAGTGACATCGTGACCTCTTCTCATCGTCATCCCCCGCTCTTGCTTTACTGAACCAAAACAACCATCTCTCGGGTTGTGAGACGATTCGGGTTCTTTCCAAAAGTCCACTTCCACGGCTTCTAAACTCTTGTGCGGAAGTTCGTTTGATCTATGCGCCCAGTGCAGCGCAGCTTTCTTATTTCGGAGTGGATTTCGACGTGCGGTTGATTGACTTCCGCTTGAGCCTCATCGCTTGGTTCCTGAGGCTACCCGACTTGGGCTCTGTGACAGCAGCAGGTAAGCAAAATACTTGGCCGTTTTCTCCTCTTTGTCCTTCTCGTCCCACCATCCTCTATCACACAGCCAACAGAGAGAGGAAACCACACAATTCTTATTTCTCCAGAAAAAGAAAATGAGAGAACTCGCTGTCATGTGAATCCAAACATTCCTCCCTTCTATATCACTAGCTTCCACTCTGGCCCCCTTCTCTCTTCTTGCTGCCTTCGTCTCTCAACTGGCTTTGCTCGATCCGCACCCCACATCCATCGCAACGGGTCCAAATGTGGTGTTCTCCCGAAGTGCTACAGATCGGATCTTGAATCATTGGTCCGATCCTCGCATGTTTCTTCTTCAATGACTTGCCGTCTATCTCCATCTCATTCCTCTTTCTTATCCAAACCATGCTCGGTTTCTGGCTCCAAAGGATAGCTACCGTAGATCGCTTGCCTCATCTTTCTTGTCAGATGCATCTTTCGTGTCCTACATGCCATTTTGCTAGGGCCTTACCCGCGCACATACTAATCAGATGACAGTGCATTTAAGCCCCCAACGCGACTCGTCTGCTGTGCTCGCGGGAGAGGTTAAAGACCTGATCCACTGCCTCCAGCGTGAGCTTGCATTGCTTTACGCGACACAAGGCACCAGAATAAATATCGACAGACAATAGGCTAGCGCACCTGATGCGCCTCAAACCACTGCCTTCATGACAGAATCATACGATCCAGATGAAATCCCCGGTTCCCCCGGGCTGAAGGCCACCCAGGTTGATTACTCACTCAAGGATTCGCCTCCACCCTTTGGGGAACCGCCGCCTGAGGGAGACGTTGCTAAACCTCCTGTGGACGACGTGGCACCGTTTTCGGGCAGTTCCCGTAAGCGCCTGCCGGAATCTCCCAAGCCCAGAACAATCGAGGGCAACTCGGTGCTGATCAGACATCTAGAGCCGAATCGACCTGATATAGCCAATTTCGAATATCAACATGGCTTTACTCAGGAGCCGGTAAATGATGAATCTTTTGAAAAGCCTATTAAATTAAGGTCTAAACTGGACAATGCTTTGCTGCCAGAGCCATGCAAACCCACGGAGACAGACAGTTTGAAAGCTGCAGCCACAGCCAAACAAGCGCTCGACCTGGTATCTTTAGATATCAAGGAAGACCCTAGGGAGAATGCCCAGTTCGGATTGACGCCAAAAGAACCCATTCATACCCCGGAGCAGTCGTCTCCTAAGCAGGAGCAACAGCACACGCCTCCCAATATTATCTCATCACTACTATCGGATCCTCCGCCACGACAGGAAAGGAAGCTGTCTGATCCCGACTCCCGCTTGAGTAAACTACTTCTCGTCAACCCTTCGACATCTCCAGGTCAGGTCCTACCAGCGCTTCACTCTTCATCAACCGGGAATTCTGTTGATCATAGCCTCCCTTCCCTCCAAACTGCATTAGCGGCAGTCACGGATGTACCGCCAAATCCCGCCGTGCGCATCAATGGCTCATCTTCGTATACCCTGCCTCCAGTACAAGCTTCCTCTCCAGTCTCAAGGACAGACTCTCTCTGGGACCACCAACGCATGGGGCAGTTTGGACCTCCCCCGCAGGTTCCGCCCAGCCCATATTCACATCTATCTCCTGCGAGCTCGAAGGAAATGTCGACCATGCCGTCTCCTGCTTCACAATCACCGTACTGGAGGATCAAAGAAATACCTTACCTGACCTCACCATATGAGGTGGCTTCCTCCACGGTCAAGAGTCCCGCAACAGGTTATCCGACCCCGACGGATCAGACACCTACAGGGTCCTGTGACCGATCATTCAACCCATCTGCGCAGGTTAATGGGCCTGTACCAGCTGGGACATATAAATGTCGTCATCCTGGGTGCACGGCACCTCCATTCCAGACTCAATATCTACTAAAGTAAGCATCTGTATGACCCCATTCGACTTGAGACCACAAACTCAACGGCTCCACAGTTCTCATGCGAACGTTCATTCCCAAGACCGTCCGCATTTTTGCCCCATAGAAGGCTGTCCTCGTGGACCAGGGGGCAAGGGCTTTAAAAGGAAGAACGAGATGATTCGTCATGGTCTCGTCCACAATTCTCCCGGTTATGTCTGCCCTTTTTGTCCAGACCAACAGCATAAGTACCCTCGACCGGACAATCTTCAACGGTAAGGTCTTTATCTACCAAGAGTCAATGTAATCGCGCAACTCACGCAATCTAAACAGACATGTCCGAGTCCATCATGTCGATAAGAATAAGGATGATCCGGCTCTCAGGCAGGTCCTGGCCCAGAGACCGGAAGGTAGCAACCGCGGTCGGCGCCGCCGCACCAACGCTCAATGAGCGACCTCCTCACGATGGTCGTGAGGAACCCTTTCCCATAAGTGCAGATTAATTGTTCAGATGATATTGCATTAGCGACAGCGCCCGTGTTGATTCAGTCCTCGAGAAGGTGGCTTTCTCGAACATGATCCTGATGTTGATGAGTCATGCTGGAGAATCACGCAGCCACTCTTGCCCACCGCCCGCCACCCGATTCCTCAATTGTCGTGTATACTGCACATGCATCATATGAGCTCGTCCCGTTTTCTTGATACTCTTCTTTCAGTGATACCAGATTTTCTTAGTTACTCTTGACTCTCTACCATCCATTGTTCCGCGCGACTTGTTCCATGCCATTCGTTCTATTTCTTACCTTGCATATACTCCTTAGCCTCTTTTGTTGCTGAATACTTGGGCGAATTATGGTTCTTTTGTACAAGATTTGACCTCATTGGCGTTCTACGGGAAAGCTCGCTGATACCTTTTTGACTCTTTCTTTCCACGATTCCTCTGCTGTTCCCAATATTCCCTTTGCGCCTTCCACAATACCTCCTAGTCTTCGTCGTAAAAATATTCCCACATATACATATAGGAGCTCTGGCGTCGATCAAGGATTCCATAAACGACATCCTTCAATATATTGGATTCTATCTTAGCGAGTAGTATTGCAGAAAAGAAGGTCCAGAAAGGGGGTCCGAAACGTTGTTTGGTCTGGATTTTCTGTATTGCTGTCTCTTTTCTTGAGTCCTGATACTTACTCCAAATATCCGTATCCCCTTTTGCATTTTCAGACATTTGCGCAGCTAGCCAGCTAGCCTCAGCATGAAAGAAGGAAAATCAAAAAAGCCTTGTATCAAAAGATGACATTCCAGAAGAAGAGAGAAGAAAAGCAAAAGGCAGGGGACAGGGGACAGCCCACAGAAGGGAGCAAACCCCCCCCAGCAAGATATGATGTTTAGAAGTTCTATAGGTATGGTAGACATAACAGTGAGTACTAGAAGACTTGATAGCGCAGCTGGGTAGAGTACAAAGCGACCCAATGTTCTCAATCCCACTCACTGGCCGGCAGCGAGTTTTTAGTTGTGTTGAATAGGGTCGTGTCAAGGACAACGAAGTTGGTATGGTTGTCTTTGGGTGGATACTTTATAGAAGGGTGATGGGAGAGGGGGAAGGTATCATCAAGTTGAGGAGTCTGCGCTGCGCACTGGCGATGGAGTGAGTAGAGCTGCTCGTGCGTGGAATTCAATTGTTGGTTTTCTGAGTATGTTGTATGGTAGTGATGTGCGGGCGTTGTTGGTTCTGTTACAACAGGAGGAGGAGATATTTTTGTTGTGATGATGTTGATGATGATGATGATGACGACGACGGCGACGGCGAGAATACCTGTCAGCCCACACACCATCTTCTTGTAGAGGAGGGTGAGACAAGGGAGGGGTGGAGTAGACTTGATTACTGGGGGGGTAAGCCAAGTCCTGCAAGCAAGCCAGCCAGAAACCGGAACCACACGTCTTCCTTCCCCTTCGGTCATAGTCACGGGATGAGGCTGAAAGAAAGCGTTCCACTTTTCGTCAGCTGGGGGTACACACCCTCACTACATACTTTGTATGTAATCATGTTTGTATGTCGCTGACTGGCTCCATTGCAGCATATTCGGACCCCTCCCCTTCCCCCCTCTGAAAAGTTTTTATCCCCTGGGGGCGAGAAAGTGCATTTTGTTCCGGAAGTTGGAGCGGAAGGGGCAACTGCCCCGCCCCCTTCGTTGAGTATGACGACTGCGAAAGAAACAGGAGACATAGGGAGAGAGAAATATTTCAAATGTCTCGCCTCTTATGGATCCTTCTCACATGATCCTTCATGTTATCCATCCGGCTGAACACTCGACGGCACCCTTCCCATTCGCATGGGATCTCGGGGTTATGTTTCGCTTCGTGTCGATCTCGGTCCTTCTTGCTGGAAAATCCACCCCGCACGGCCTGTGGACAACCCTCGTAGCGGCAGAACAGGTGCTTGCGGTGTCGGTTGTAGTGCTTGCGAAGGTCGCAGCCACGACGGAAGAGGGCTTGTGAAGAACATCCTGGGTAGGCACAGCGCCATGTTCCATCCGGGTTGGGGATACCATAGTTCGTCAAATCTCGATGAACATGGTGGTGATTGTGAGAGTATTGGGAGCGTAGTGGCGAGGATGAAGAGGAGCAAGGAATCGCAGCGGTGGCGTTCTCATCTGCGAAGTGGTGGGGCTGTGTTGGGGGTTGTGATGGGGGTTGTGATGGGGGTTGTGATGGGGGCTCATCGAGGTCGAAGTCCAGGTCGAGATCGAGATCGAGATCGAGGTCGAAGTCGCCTGTTGAGGTGGAGATAGGGGTGAGTTGCTGTTGAGGTAATGTTGGCTGGTGCTGATTGGGCGATGTGAGGTGATAGTCCGCTGCTGTGTGTGGTTCTGGGGTCGGCGTATGTACCTGGAACTGGGTTGCTATCTGCGTGGCCCAACTCCCCGGACGCATAGAGTAAGTTTGATTACATGTGTTCGCTAGTGGATGTGATGACAGTGGTAAATTGGGACGGGTGGATGATGTCAGGTGTTGGCTCAAGTATGAGGGCGTATAAGGCCCCTGCTGGAAGAAGACGGCCTCAATCCCTGGGTTTCTGCTGGGGGGTTGGTTGAGTGCATATCCCAGGTTTCCAGGCATCCCATGGACGGCTGACAGATGAGCCTCATGGAAGGCTGCCGCTGAAAAACGGTGCGGCTGCATCTGCAATGACATGGCACTTGGGATGTACGAGTCGGGTGGGAGCAGCATTTGATTGTCAATCGATCTCTGTGAAATCATTGTGGAAGGCTCTGAGCTAGCAGAAGCTCTATTGTAGATTGGCTTGTGCTAAGTATGTATTTTGTCAGGCCACTTGCTCGAGAGATGAGATTCTTAACTTACAGTTGTATCCTCGTCCATGGAAACGTTCCTCTCTTAGCAACGGGTGTGTTCCATGCATCAACGGAAGAACCTTCAGTTTCATCAGGGCAACGATTCGGGTTAGTGCTTCTTCATTGTCTAGCTTCTTTCGAGTTGCGGCTGGAGGAAATAGAAGGTCCATATAAACCACTGTCTTTCTAATGTTCTGTTCTCGAAGGAGTATCTCAAATGTCAGATGTGGCTATGCATATGTCGAGAGCTGACGGACAATCCGGTTAGCTGAGCGGGAGTCATTCCGAATCTCTGCTTAATAAATTTCTTGAAGTTTGATGCCACTGTATCATTGGCTTCGCCGAACGTTGACGCTGTCAGCAACTCTCGCACTAGCCTTGAAACTCGTGATTTAATATAGACCACATCTATGGGGTTGATGTATAGTGGGGAGTTCTGCTAGGTGCATGATGTAATAGGTCATTCCACTGCGTTTGAAATCCAACATCGCAGCTGACTTTAAATTGCCGGCCGGTAATGTCCGTATGACATCTTCTGTTGGAGTATACATAGTTGACTCCAATGACAAGAATTTCAAATATTGGCCAATAGCACCACAGAATAGGGACTCGGACTATTGTTTCCTGGGCATTGTTTCATTTGTTTTTCCCAAAGCAGATCCTCACTGCTTATGTAGGCATAACTATCGACTATCATGACTCGAGATTGGCTACCTGATAGGGCTGAGGTGCATAGTCATCGTGTGAAAAAAGCCACAGTGCACGAATCAGGAGAATCCGTATGCAGCTGGCGGAGTGAGGAATTCACTCTGTTGTTGAAGCCTGGCTTGGGTCGACTCCGACCCAGTCAAGAAAACCCAGTCGTTTGCTGACAAGGTAGCTCGGGCTAGAATGTTAGCTCACAGACCTAGCATCATAATTGCGCGGCAGTTGAGTATGCAGCACAGTATGCATGCGGTATTCGCGTGTCGTAGGAGGCTCCCTGTCTGGGCAGAGGTCTCAGCCTCAGGAAGGGCCGCGGACTCGCAAGTCCCGCCCAAAATAGAGAATCGAATAGAAAGTATGGAGGACAGGGGACATCGAGGATGTGTCACAAAAGAGAAACAAAAAAATGGATAACAAAAATGCGACTTCGAGTCACGGTTCTGCACGATTTCTCTGGCCGTTGCAGGTGGGACGAAGCCAACAAGCTGACGTGAATGGTTGACGGTATGCTTAGGCCCCCCACGCTTGCAAGGCTGGCACAATTGGACTACCAAAACGGGCAAGCAAGTGGGCGCTATTGGACATGGCTGAGATGTAGATCTCTTCTGCTTACCGCCAGATGGGCCATAAGCCTCAAGGAGGAAATCCCTGCTGCAGCATGGAAGTTCATGCCATGTTGCGCGATTCCGCAGCGTGACGATCCCCAGATTGGCGGGATTGTGGGAGGGATGCCGCGCCAAAGGATTGCCGTTAGCACGGAAGAGCTGATAAAGAGCGGTGTCGGCACCCTCGCTACTGTGCATAGTACTGCGTCCACTGCGTCCACTGCATCCACTGCATCCGACCCTCCCTACCCCCCCGGGCTGGCCCTGATCGGCCTGCAGATCTCGGCGGTTGGAGCGTATGTGTCAAGATCATGTTACATCCAAATCATGGTATGTGCCGTCCGTAACCTGGTGCAAGACATTATTCCAAAAATATATTCTATCAATCCTGGCCGACCGGTAGTTGAGTCATCTCTGGACCACCCCCAGTCGTCGAAAATGCTCTCAACCAAGAAATCTCACAAATTTAACGGCTTCTCCGTCGTTTGTTTTGGCAGAGATTCTAGCGTCTCATACATATTCAAGGAAGCCCCGAGTCTCGGTTGCAGTCTTATCGTTTCGCGAAAACCGAGGACTGAGAAACGGGCAGAGAAAATCGCAACCAACATAAGCAGGGACCCGCCACTAAAAAGCTCCAAAAAGAAAGAAAAAAAAAAGCGAATCGCGATGTATCCGACTTGCGTATCCAATACGCAGACACCAGCTGCTCACGGCAGATCGTTGGCTTGCGACAAAAGCGGCGTTCTATCGTTTGCACCCTGTCCTTTATCCTTATCGTCCTCTGCATCCTTGTAAAGGATGTAGTGCTGCACGATGAAAATGACGTCAAAGAAAATTGTCACGTTAGATAAAAGGAACTTGGCGGGGTTTCCGGTGATGCCGCTCCAGTCACCTTGGAAACTCGAGTCCATTATCAATTGCGCAAGAGACAGTATACCGCCAGAGAAGTCGAAGAGAATCCCTTCAATACTCCAGCCATAGGTGGACTTGCGCTTATAGTTCACCCACGCCTGAGGTACGTATTTCACGATGGTGATGATTAGTTTCACATAGGAGAGTGCGTAGATCTGATGGAATCAGTCATCAATCCGGACTGATTTTGTGATAGTACAGTTGCGATATTTCAGAGTACTCACAACATCGATCCATGCCCACGAGATAGGATCGAGTCCCCCATTGGGACTCTTGGCAAGAACAATCACCACGACGGCGCCCACGCCGACGATAGAGCCCCAAAAAAGACCAGCGACCGGTTTGCTAACCCGTTGGTACCGAGAGACCTTAAAGCCCCAGATAAAGGGCCAGAACTGGGAGTAGTAGATAACGCTGAGAACGACAGCATGAATGGCGAAAGCGAAGTCATTAAAGCGCACCGTAGCGTTTTGTGCGAGAGGATGGCGGGCGGCATATTGTTCACGAATAACCGGAGACCAAAGGAAGGCAGAAGTATAGATCGTATAGCAGACGAAACCTAGAACATTGATCGTAGGGAAGTCTATGGCTAGACCCGTGGTTGAACGTCGCCGGAAGTTGTTGAGCGGTTGGGGATAGAATGACGCGGACCAGCAAAGCGTGCTATGCCAATCAATAAGCCACTGAAAAAAAGTTTCCTTTATATATTCCTCGACAGAAGAGTTCTCCTGAAGAGGCTCCTAGATGAGTTCAAGACATACTAGATCCAGCCCAGAAGGCTATGTTCACAGGGGTCAGTAGTGTTTTATCTAAGGACCGCTGGCTTTTGTAGATAAGGAGAATACCTACCGAGAAAGCGCTCTAACAAATATCTCGAGTTGAGAAGTCATGGTTGGGAGGGGGGGGGGGGTTAAACACCTTAAATGACCATAGAAAGTGAGAGGAGAGTTGGAGGGCAAAGAACAGGTAGAAAGAAGGATGAATCAGATCAGGGAGACACACATCTTGTCTTTTGTTTCGAATTGAAGGGGGAGGGGGGAAAGGGGAGGGAAGAGCAGGGATCACTTGATCGCAGAGGCGGACGATAAGATGGATAAAGTGAGATAGATAGCACGCGATCCATCGATACAATGCGCAGGCGGTCCGTGCCGGCAGATGGTCGAGGGACTGCTGAGTCAGCCATGGTTGTCTGGGATATGCGCTGGCGCACTAAGCCCAAGAAGGAAAACAGTTGTTGCTGCTGTGCTGTGCTGTGCTGTGCTTGTGTGCTTGTGCCTTGCGAGCCGCGATCGCATCGCATCCCCAGCCGCGACTTAGCGGTAAGTCCACTAAACAACCCAACCCAACCCTGCCTGCATCTCGATCAATCCCCCGGCGGTTGACTAAACTTGTCCCTCCCTTCCTGCGTCTCGCTGACGACTGACTACCCATCTCCCCTCCTCCTTCTCCTCCTCCATTGTTTTCTCTTTATATCCCTGGTTCTGGACCCGCCATTGTTTCCGCCATTATCTCCAGTCTTCTTGACCACTCTATACCTACACTATCTTGGTTCCACTCTTCACTTCTCACCGCCAGCGCTTGTTGCAGAGTGTGAGCTGGACTGTCCGTCGTCCCAACTTTTCCTTTGAATCCTCCAGAAGCCACGCGAATTTCCCGAATAGCTTGTCAATCGGCCGGGGCGGACAAATCAGCGACTCAGATCAATTCCAATCTTTCCCCGTCGGCGCATGGTGCATTCTTCGGAGTGGGGGATCTCAATAGATCTCCTTCGGTAGTTCCGACATTCCACAGCATCTAATCTCGCCGTCCGTTGCAGGAGCCACTCATCGATCTCGGCCTGACATCACCGGAGCACAAAGTCCTCGACAATCATGGCGGCTGATTCGGGGCTCACGGCTCCCGGGAGCAGTACCTACTCCTCGAATACGCTACATGTTGGTGATGGGACATGGGACTCGGAGCGCGATACATTCCTGCTGCCCAACTTGATGGGGATCAACTTCGACACAATGCGATACAATGGTAGGTGCAATCCATATCTGTCTTCACAACATCTGCTAAAATCTCTCTTACCATGGGCGCTAGGAATGGGGAACCGATTCAAGGATATGCCTGAATACCATACGCTGATCATTGTTCACGGTGTCATCGCCACCATCGTATTTCTCGGTCTTGTCCCCATCTCAGTCTTGATTGTCCGATATTATTCGCGATGGAACCCATACTGGGCATTCAAGTTGCACGTCTGGTGCCAGGTTCTGACCGTGATGCTGAGCACCGTTGTGTTCGTATTCGGCTGGTTTGCTGTAGGCCCCCGACGTAGCTTGACGAATCCTCATCATGGAATTGGCTTAGCGATCTACGTCTTGGTTTGTTTCCAGGTGTTATGGGGCTGGCTTGTTCACAAATTCGAAAGGAACAAGAGGCGGTTCCATGTGCCGCTGAAGCTTGTCGTAAGTAGACCAACCAGTGGCATTTCCGATGGTCTCCATGAGGGCTAATTGACTGCCAGATACATCGATGGATTGGCCGCGCTTTGACAATATTGGGGATTGTGCAAATACCACTAGGTCTCACTCTTTACGGCTCACCCAAAGTACTTTTTATTCTATATGCGATCGCCGCCTTCGCGCTTCTGGCAACATGGTTTGTGTTGTCCTACCTATACGATACTGAGGGCTATCACATGGAGGGGGATTACGAAGCTCGTCGTAGCTACGTATCCGGCCCTCCTGGTCCTGAAGGACACACCCCCGGTGGTCTCGGTCCTATGGCAGGCGCGGGACCAGTAGGCTCTGGGTTGGGCTCAATCTTCAGAAGACGCTCGCGAGGTAAAGACCATGAGTATGATGATCCGCACCCGGGTTATCCAGAAGAGAAATATTCCGATGGGGGACGGCGTCGAGGACGGTGGGAGGACACGATGCTCAAGCTGGGGGCTATTGGCGGGGGTGCGTGGCTTGTGAAGAAGTTTCTCGACAGAAGGCGCGATCGGGATGATGATACGGAGTCTGGTCGTTATAGCCGGGCTCATGCACGCAGCGACAGTATAACAGAGGAGAGCCTAAGTCGAGTGGAGCCAACGCAGCGCACGCCTCTCAATCGGCCCCCGAGTCGGCCTCCAAGCCGACCACCGAGCCGACCAGCTAGCCGCGCTCAAAGTCCAGGATCATCGTACTACTACGACAGCACCTACCTCTCATCCGAACCCGCACGGAAACCATCACACACGCTTCGAAATGCTGTTCTAGGTGCAGGGGCCTTTGCTGCATTTAAGGGTCTGTTCTCCCGTCGCAAAGGGAATGATGAACAACGCCGAGTAGAAGACTTGCGTCGCCGCGAGATGGAAGATGAAAAGTTAGCTCGCGCGAATAGTGGGCGACGATACACTGGAGAAGGCTACTACCCGCGACGAGGCCCAGAGTCGTTCACAGCCACTGATATTTCGACGGAGTTGACACATCCACCACACCGTCCACCACCACACGGGGAATCTCTTCTTTCTGCTGTGCCCATGGCATCTGGGGCGGTTGATGGCGCGCGCTCAGACCTGCCTCCGGCATCAGCTCCTCCGGTCCCGCACGATCTGCTCTCCGAAGCTCCACCCCCTCCTCGACACGATTCAGGCGACTTGGCAGCTGGTGTAGCAACGGGGGCGACGTTAGGTGCTGCTGCTGCCTCCTCTGGCCACCGGCACCGCAGCAGAAGCCGGCACCGCGATGATCATGTCGATTCACCCCCTGTATCTGTCAAATTGAAGATGCACAACGACGGCCGCCATGTCACGCTCAGGAGATTGACTGATGAAGAAGCTGCCGCGAGCCGGGAGGCCAGACGCCGGGAGAGAAGAAACTCACGCCGCCGAGCCGGCAGTGCAAGCTCCCTATCCGGCAATGAAGGGGGCAACTACGACCGCTGGCGTCGGGTCGAGGAGCTGGAACGTCAGCAGCAGGCGCAGATGCACCGAGAGCAAGCCGCAGCGGCGGCGGCGGCTGGGGCTGGGGCATCTGCGGCTCCCTCATCTAGCATCCCCGCAACATACTATGCGCCTCCGCCGAACATGAGCAACTTGCCTCCTCCGCCTCCGCCCCCCGTACCCTCCAGCCATCCTTACGGCGCAGCCAGTATTACATCGCCCGGTACTGGAACATTCACCGGGACCGAAGCCAGCGAATACGCGAGCAATCGACGTCGTAGACGTGCGGAACGAGCTCGCGCACGCCAAGAGAGACAGCAGGGCGTTGAATTCACCTGAAAAAAGACATCTTGCGTTCTCTCTTTCTTGTCTTTCCTTTTTTGTATAGCAACGATATGATACTGACGATCTGATGTGGTAGGATTATATCTCTGTTTGTCGATTTTAGTACCTCTTTTTGTTGACGTGTTGATGTTGTCGATGTTGATGTTGATGTTGATGTTGATGTTGATGTTGATGTTGATGTTGATGATCTGTTGTATATGAATTGTTTGTGTGCGAAGTGCCCCCCAACTCCATCCGGTCTACCTTGGCGGGTGCTGTTGCTTTTGTTGATTACAGTAATAAATGCATGTGATGTGGTCAGAGGAGATACCTGGCCCTGGTCGGACTGAGGATTCAGAAGAACATGTTTTCTCGACGATAGATCCCTTCCTAGAGGTTTTTTTTGTCAATGCGCACACAACGTAGAGTCGCTTGGTGGGTAATTAACAGACCCCCCTCCGGCGGGCAAGTCGGTCAGTGAGCCCAGCAGTAAGGTCGACACCAAAGATACCAGATCTCGGGTTCAAATCCAGATAAAGCTCGCAGAGGACCGTCATAAGGTCCATCATCTAGGTGTTCAGTTGACTGCGAAAGTCACTCAGCAGTCGGGACGGGCAGACTTCTCTTGTAGGATCGTAGTCATAAGGATAGTGTGATCGACCGAATCCCATTGAAGTGAGATGGAATTGGGTCAGGGTCAATCTCTTCGAAACACTCAGGAATGTAATGGATAGACAGGACGAACGGCCTATTGGAAACTCATCGAAACGGTCATTGCAGAAGGGTAAGATTAATGTCTCCGAGTCAGCGGAGAAGTGGGCATTACCTTGTTTGCCTCTGGGATCACTTGACCAACTACCAACTCTCGCTGGCGATCTTACCATGACGTTTTCACCATCAATGCGTGATGAGGCTTCATTGGGTTGCTCTTTTCGTCCGTCGGAAGAGGTTTAATCTTGTTGGGACTTGAGCTGGCTAGGATTCTAGGGTGGCTGCAGGTGAGTACTAAAGGCTTTATGCATTGAGCTACAGATAGACGACTGAGTAACAGATGCATGTGATAAGGGGGATCTGCTATGCTTATCTCGGTTAGACTTTCCCATGACTATTACTGTAGGTGGCTCTCGACAAAAAGTCTATCCATCAGCACCCCTGTCTCGATCTCTGATGGTCATAGGTTCAATAGCCATGAGACAACTATGTAACAATCTCATAGCAAGATAAGAATAAAACCCTAGCTCTCCTTGTCATTGCCTTTTTCACTGAGACTCTCGCTGTAATCAAACTTTTGTGCTTGACTCAGTCAATCAGCCAAATGCCGCTCTTGCACACCACTGTATCTCTGAGACGCTGTCAGCCCTGAACGAATACATTGACGCCGATCTTTTCCACGAGAAAAGTAAGTGATACTACAGCGAAACGCAGAAGTAGGTGGAGCACGCCAATAACTGCACATGGGGCTGCAGAGCCGATGAGCTGGAGGAAAGCAGCATTGAGTAATGACATAATTTGCAGATATAGAAGTGGAACAATGACGTCGACCCTATAAAGATGTGCCGTAGACATGTACGGAGAAACGAAGGTATCTTTTAGACCGTCGCGGCTCTTAGCATAGGCCTGCGCAATCGGCCAAGTGACGTGCACATGGAACGAGCAAGACATGGATTGGGATAGCAAATGCTGCTCAGATCGCCGCCCAATTAACAAGCTAACAACAGCACACTCGTTTTCCTTGGTCTGTAGCCAGGTCGATTGAAGGGGCTTGCGGATGTACGTCTCCAGAAAGTCACCGAATGAACGGCGTCCATGTGGCAGGGTTTGACAATAACCGTCAAAGGCAGGGAGCCGGATATCGTTACTTGCTGCGATGTCGGGTAATGCAAGGCTGTGGCGGAAGAGCGACTCATCGATAATCGGAAATGGTGCCGGCAATGGCACTTTCGGGCTATCTTTCACAGCGTGTATTGTCGTCTCTGGACATGGTATTAGACGCGGAAGGACATGCGAGGATGGGGAGCTCTGATTTGTCCATGGTTTTTTTATTCGCTTTATTGAATCGTGTCCCTGATATCGTCCCATCGATAGGTTGAATAGACGCAAAGGAGCCCTTATACCCTGCCGCGGTGCTAGCATCTGAGGATCTGTGCCAAGGGACTTTCTTTTCTGGCGTGTCATTCTGGGATCAGCCACAGATGATTGAACATGTTCGGATACAGTGAAAATAGGCACTTCGAATTCAGACAGGAAAGCCGGCTTTGGGGGCTTTGGGGGCTTCTCAGAGAGCTCGCGATTGGGACTTTCTGTACGAGTCGGTTCAATAAGGACGTCATATACCGCGCTCACGATGGGCTCGTTCAAGATCAATTTGGTCGCAGAGGATCGGCTTTCGATACTACATGGTTCATTCTCCTTCGTAGACACAGGGATTGAGATCGATGAGCTCCGTCGAATTTCAGGCTCAATCCCTATGTCCTTTGCGCTGTATGTCGTGACTAAGGGATTGTTGTCAACGTCCATGGGGAAAATCTGGAATATATCGGTATCACGAGAATCATTCCTCTGCAGAGCTGGGGGCACCTTGAGGTTTTCCAGCCCACTGGGAGCGCCTCGATCGGGGAAAGACTGGGGGGTTTTCATAGACACGAGGTCGGAAACAAGCGGCAGGGTGTTGGGTTGTTTGTGGTCGCCAAGCTCGGTTTCGTAGACCAGGGAGCTTGAGCCAGACAATACTGACTGCTGGGCCATCGTCAGCAAATATCTGTTGCAGTCTGCGCGCTCAGGATTAGCAAGAAAGTGGACAGAGGGGAAGCAGCGGAATGCACGGAAGGAAGTTCGAGGGAGTGCTTCAAGGTGGTACTTGAACAATCGAACCAAACCAGGAAGGAGCGGCCTGGGAAACGAGGAGTCCAAGTCTTGTTTAGCAACAATCGTCAGTGGTACTAATGCCACACAAGGCTTCAGCGGGCGTTTGTCTTCAATTCATGCAAAACAACATTTCAAGAGAATTGGCTTAATTCTACAAGGTCAGGTTGAAGGTCGCGACTGGATATGTACATCAGGTATCTATTTAAGGTGGGCTTGGAGGGTCTCGAGAACCTGGTCATGGCGTTAGTAGACAAACCCGTAGTATAACGAAGCGGACTCGGCCTACCTCAAGCTCGATCTTAGCCTCGGCAATATCCTGCTCGCTGCCGCTGCCGCTGGCAATCTTCTGGGCCTCGGCGATCTGAGAGCGGACAGCCTGAAGTAGAAGAAGGACTACATTAGTCATCGAGCGACGCGACATAAGAAGATGGGACACCTACCTCAACGCTGAAGTCCTCAAGGGGGTAACCCTCGACGGCGTTGATGCTCAACTGGGAGTCAGGCTGCACAACGGCGAAGCCACCGGAAACTGTACAAGAAGACAAGCATGTCAGCCAAGCTCTAAGCCGAGTAGCAGCCGCGATTCAAGCAATGTCTGTTTGAAGTAGAGGTAAAGCCGGGTCTCGACGGGAATGGTCGGACGTACGGAAGAACTTCTTGCTGGCACCACCCTCCTCAACAACCTCAACGAGACCGGGCTTAAGCTGCTCGATGGAGGGGACGTGGTTGGCGAGGACACCCATCTCTCCGGACTCAGCAGGGATGTTGACCTGGACACTGGATGGAAAAAGACTCGTAAGTACGGGGCGGTCAAGGTTGAAAGAGTTTCGTCCAATTGCTCGGTCGATAGGAGTCAGGAGACCACATACACGCCAGCGGACTTGAAGATAGTCTGTTGAGAACAAATTTGTCAGTCACTGAACATCATGGCGGACGCAGCGGGTTGCATAACAGGGTCGGAATCGTACCTGGTGAGGCAGGGTCAAGGAAAGCTTGATCTTGTCGTTAACAGCCTCGGCGTAACCTCTGCGCTGAAGAGGAACGCGGAAAGCAGAGGGACGAGCCCTGAGAGCAGAGCGAGCGAAGCGGAGAGAGCTCATCTTGCAATGGACGGAATGGAGGTGGTGGTGGTGATATCCCTCTTGAACCTGGGTTGCGAGTTGCAAAGGTCGAAGTCGGATGCCGGTTGTTCCCTAGCGGCTCTTTTGGTCACGTGGGGTCCCGCGCGACAACCGCCAACGAACCCGACGACTTGACCAAGTACGTATTCCGAACTCACGATCGGAGTAGGCACGGTAGCCTCTACGCTGTCATCGCCCTTGGTCAAGAACTACAACTAGAGGCTTTTACTCCGTAAATACACTCGATTTTAGTCTGTCTCACAAATGCCAGCACGAACGTGTGTTATGTCGTTGGCTGCCTTTAACAGATTGGGACCATCAGGCAAAGACGAGCGCCAGCAACATCCCAGTTGCGATGGCGCAAATGAGCCCTCTTATTAACTCTGTTCTGGACAAGGCAAGGATCTTTACTATGAAGGTGCATGTTTAAATCCCAGATGGCCCACGAAGCTTCCAAGATGGGCGTAGGTCTAATTGCATACTTCGAGATTCGAGATCCAAAATAGTTATCATCACGTGATATGGTGTTTGGCCTTGGCTCGGCAATCATGACAATACTTCTTTGACAGGCCAGGTCAGGCAGCGGTATCAGGCTTTGAAACAGTCGACCATCGTTGCTTCTGTCTCGCGATCACTCAGAGAGCAGCAACCTCACATCAATGATGTTTGGGATTCAAATCAACAAGGTATCACAATAGATGCGCAGATCCAAGTCACGAGTGAACATTAGTCATCGGTATGGATGCTTTTGATGCCTCAGGCCTGCATAGTATACTTCAATGGTCTCTGCGCGTTTAAACCAGGTCCTACCTTCTAACGGATCTTACAGAAGATGGAAAGACGCCAGGATTAAGTGTGATATGTAACGTAAACAGCACTAATATTCTCCCCCTCCACACGGGCATACGGGGAGGTTTGGGGGGTGGGAAGAGTCCAGCAGTAGAAGCAGCCGCAGGTGATAGCTGAGGCCGACACGCTAGCCGTGCTCGGTAAGCGAAATCCCACACTGAAAACCAGCCCTAGCCGAACCTGCCTTGGGGACTCTGGCCTTCCGCTCAGTTCAGGATAACCTCACCCGCCAACTCCTCGTCAACCGTCTCCCAGTTGCGACAAATCCGACAAGATGGCGAGTATGTGCACCCCTGCTATGTGAAATTTTTGTCCCAGAAAAAAAAAAAACGAAGAATCAGCCCGTCCAAACATCAGCATCCTTCCCCTGGGACTGTTCGCCATGTTTCTACAGGTCCATTCGGCAACCGTGATCAGTTCACTGACATGATTTTCCCACACAGAGTCCAAGAACGCGTCTCAGCACCACAACAGCCAGAAGGCTCACCGTAACGGGTGCGTACCCTCGAATCCCCATCGAGCCCAGCCTTGAAAGAACCATACGATGTACGATTGGAATGGAGCGGGGATATTCGCTATGTTGGATACGGCGCGATTGTGGAAGGAACCTCACGACCATCGTTGTTTCATCCAACACGATAACAGCGCCTCCGCCGTCGCCATTACCATGAGATACAACACCGGAAACAAATGAATGCAAAGTCGCTAACCATGTCGATTTTCCGCCCCACAGTATCAAGAAGCCCAAGACCAACCGTTACCCCTCCCTCAAGGGTGTTGACCCCAAGTTCCGCCGCAACCACAGACACGCTCTCCACGGTACCGCCAAGGCTCTGGTACGTTTACCTAGCGAATCCTTCGATCCCTCACGACCCCCGGCTTTCGATTGTGAGAAGAATGATCTGGCTAACAACTCGAACAGAAGGAGCGCAAGGAGGGCAAGCGCGAGATCGCATAAATCAACTAATATAGAAACGTTTTAAAAGAAATGAAAGCGATTTGAGTTGGTTGATCTTTCTTATTTCAAAACGCCCCCGCGCACCATGAGTGGGATCGTCTTGTCTTGTCGGATTTAGCCCAGACTGGTCCTCACTCCCCCGGCTACATGTTTTCGAAAACGGTTGTCACATAGGAAAGGAAATTGACTGGTTTTCTGCGGGTATACTTTGGAAGAGCGAGTCGTGCTCTTTTACTATTTTCCTTTTCCGTCCTTGCCCGCATCGTGGTGAGTGACGGGCTTCCCCACAAATTCGGTTCCGGTCTATAGAGACCGAAGTCGGTGATCAGGCATATGTGTGTACAGCTTCGTGCTTATTTTTCCATGCGCGCTTGCTGAAGGATTATTTTAACGTGCCGAGAGAAGATCCCATGCCCTCCTGACTTCCAATCACCCTTGGCCTTTGCTCTCCGTGGGTCAAGGGAGCATGGACGGAGGGCTACATCTCTAGTAGATTGATGTAGAGCTATATTTAGTCAATCAATTGAATTTGTTCCAGGATTTTGATCTATCCATATATAAATATACATATACTCACATGATACGCGCCAGTTGAATGCTTTACAAACATCAAAGATCCCCGACTGTATACTATATCTTCCATACCACGAGCCTCTTATCGAACCCTCCACTAACCAGCCATTCCTCCCTATGAGCTCTGCCATCGGAGCCTGAACGCTGCTCAACCCAGCCGGCCCAGATGGCCCTAATCTTACAACCCGCCTCATGGCCACTCTTCAAGACAGTAACAACCCTACCTGACTTAGCCTCGAGTCCGCGAATAGCCCCATCATCCCCATTGACCCAGACCCCTGAGCCATCCGGCCGCCACACCACCTGCGGGGTCGAGTACGCCGTCTGCGGCGCGAAAGTGTTCGCCTGAACCATGATCGCGGCATCCTCTCGATTCTGGAGCGACAGCGCCGCAAGCGCCTGCGCAGCCTGCGTCACCGGCTCGTCATCCTCGCCATTCCCGCCCAGCGTCTCCTGCGACGGGAACAGCAGCCGCACCATCATGACCTTCATGTGCGGGAGCGTGGACGTTGCAACCGCAATCAGGCCCGCATCATGTGGGCTGAGGGCCATGCACGAGGGGGAGAACGCCACCCAGGCGTTCGAGTGCGGGGCCAAGTTCTGTCTCCCGAGCAGGACACACTCTCCCTGCTGCTGCTGATGAGGGTGGGTTGTTTCTGCAGCGGTGGATGCTGCCCGTGACCCCCCTACCTGGTAGTAGTAGATATATGTCGAGTCCTGTCGGGAGACGAGGAGAAGAAGCTCCTTGGTGTCGACGTGGCGGACGAACAGGATCGATTCCGGGTTCGTTGGCAGGGAAATTTGCGCCACGGGCTCGCCGATTGATACTGGGGTGTGCTCGTCGACTGCTGCAAGGCTGCCGCCGCGGAGCTGATAGAGGAAGACCTTCGAGTCCCAGCCCGCGGTTGCAATCCATACGGTGTTGTCGTCAGCCTCATGGGCGACCACCTTAACCGCGTATTTGGCATGGTCTTTCCGACGATCGAGGATGCTGGCTCCACGCTGGAGAAGGAGTTGACCGGACATGTTGGTCAGGAGCAGGAACTTGCCCTCTCGGATCGGCGTGTAGGACAAAATCGGCGACTCGGACGTGCCGGAGAAGGACCGCACGAGGGTATTGCCGGCGGAGGCTTGGAAAACATGGAGCTGTTTGTCTGCTCCGGTGGCCACCAGGAGGGATTCGTCGGGCTGCTCTTCTCTGTCGTCATGTTGCCATTGCTCCACGGAGCAGGATAGCAAATTGGATGAGGTTGGCGTCTGGATGACCGTGGGGTTGGTCGGTGCTTGATATACCATTATTAGAAATTCTGTTCGCTTGACTCCGGGGGGGAGGGGGGGTTAGTTTGAGGGGTCTCATATACCAGGCACACTCCAGAAATCCTTCTCTTGGTCGCTCTCATTGTATCGCTCAAAGTTCACGCTCTTATCAAAGGCTCGTTTCTCGTCGAGCACGCTCTCGATGGTCCAGGAGTCCTGCTCGTCCTTTCCGCGGATTTGCCCCGCATTGGCTGGCAATCTCGCTTCGCGGAGGAAGGCATCGAGGGTCTCTGTGTAATTGTGTGTGCGCAAAAAGCGAGCCACGAGGTCGCTCGCCAGTGATGAGCTTTGCGCTTCCAAAGGCATTGTTCTTTTGTTTTCTTTGTGAGATGTGGGGAAAGGTCAGGCGTGGGGGCCTGGAAATATATTTCTGACATAAGTCCGCTCCAGCGGCTGGGCCCTTCTCCTATAATCATCCTACTCCGTATAAACACGATGTGCTTTTACGAAATGGAAGGGCTGAGGTTGTCATATCATCAGTAGCTTCAGTAGATTATTTGTATCTTAAAGATGAGTATAGTATCGAGCATCCAAAGATGAGATTTGTCATTGTGAGGGGATTGCGAATTGCGAAACACCAACCCAAGGCATCATGCTAGAGACTAAATGAAAAAAATACTACAAAATGAAAATGCAAAAAAAAGAAAAAGCCTTTCCTTCCAGGGGTATTTTCTAACATAGAATGCAGAATGCCTCAGCTGAACATGTCCTCCGCTCTCCGTCGAGGACCTCCCCGCCCTTCGATCTTCTCTGAAAACAACTCCTTGCCGGCATTGGAATTGAACTTGGACGGGAAAAGCTCTCGAACAGACGCTCCCCGTCCTTTGATTGAGATGCCGCCTGCTGCACCGCGAATAGATATCCCTTGATCATCCCGACCTTGACCTGCAGCCCCACGGATGTTGAGCCCGCTCGAATCTGAGCCGCTAGGGAAAAGCTCAACGTTCTTGTTCTTTCGCTGTGGCTCTATGTCCTGTGCTCCATCGACGAACGGTACAGAAATCCGTCGAGCGAAAAGATCGGCTGTCTCGTCCGCAGCATCGATCGCATCGGATCGGCGATGGTTGCTGTGCTTGCTGGGGAAGAGTTCTTTGGCCGTCTTCTGGGGGAAAAGCTCGCGCGTGTTCGAGTCGCTGTCGCCGGCCTTGGAGGACGGGAAGAGCTCCCGGCCTTCATTGCGACGACTGGGCGGGGGCGAGCGCTCACGAAACTGCCGGCGGGAGCTGGGGCGATCTGTGTCGACGTATCCCCCTTCCATCAATGTATCACGACCCGGTGAAGCACTGCGATTGCGTAGACGTCCCGAGGAGCCTCCTTCATCCTCGGGGAAAAGATCCCTTGGTCCTCGTCTGCCTCGTCCGCGAGATGATTCGGAACGGTCGGCGCTCACGGCCCGCGTGTCGTCATACATGTTAGCGCTGAAATTGTCGTCAGCGTCGCGGTCCCTCCGCCGCCGCAGTTCCCGACCATCGAACCTCCTTCGTCTGTAGTCGCCATCGTTGCCGTCGCCACCGCCGTGCTGACGTCTGTCTGCAAACTCGCGTCGGAGGCGCTCTCTAGGATCATGCTCAGGATGCATGAGGTAGAACCGACTGGCTTCGTGCGCGCGTGGCCTCTTCCGATCCGTTATGACAGCTGATCTGACCTGGAGCACGGAATCAGGGTGCGAGGCGAGGAGCTTTGCCGACCGTAGACGTAGCGCGGGATATTGAGTCACATCCTCCTCTTCATTTGATTGTGTAAGTGCCGCTAATGCCTGGAGGCCGACCTCTGGCGATGAGTACAAAAGGTTCGCGGACGTGTCATCGATCCACTCGACACGGCTTGGCTCCTCAATAGGGAAGTTCTCGCTTGCAAATCGCTTGATATCGCCGGTTGTCAATTCGTCAACACCGCGTATGTGAACCTTCTCGTATTGTGCATCTGAAGAAAGTGCATCGACGGCTTCGTTGGTGGTGGCTGTTGCGGCTGTTGGTTCCTGACAACGCCAAAGAGTGTTAGACGGGGTGGCAATGACATTGGCTACCAATTGACGAGCGCGACTTGACTTACGATCTCGATGTGCTCATCTTCGGGGAGGGGCCCGAGATCAATGTCCATATCAATATCCATGGAGGCCATGATGGTGTTGGAGGTGAATGTGCTGTTGGAGACGAGACAGACTTCGGCGAATCGCGAGAAGGTTGTTGCGCAATGGCGATCTCCAGCGAGGAGGGAACTGAACAATGATAGGCGTGCAAGAAGACTATATGGTTTGAGGAAATACCAGGCGCTTCAATAGGTTGCAATAAGCAACTCAGGGGTCATAAACTGGAACGAAGACGGACAAACAGGAAACTCCACTGGTCGCAAACTGAGGCCGACATGAAGTCTACCTCCTCCACACCGCCCGGGGGATCCGTCGGCGGAGCTCAACCGCAGCCATCCTCGATTCTATACTCCGTACATGCCTTTCATCTCTTTCATGTATCTTTCACTTTCACTTCAACTTCAGACACGGCAGCTTGCTCTTCTTCAACTGAAACCTATCATGCTCTTCTAGAACTGGCGGACAACACTTCTCTGACCCAGACCTTGAATTAGCTTGTTGAGCTTGGCACTTCCATGTGTTCTGGATGCAGCATAAGACATACGACCAACCCCACCGGCCTTAAACGTTACTGCATGCTTGAATTGTTGTTCAGGATGAAACCTGGCCATACCCTCAGAGTAGTATATGGCAGTGACCCTACTGCTCAGAATAAATACATACTCGCTGCATTCTCAAAATGCTGAAATGCAGTACTACCGACTGGTCCAATGACTCCTTTCACACGATAATGACTACTGTTCAACGCTCCTTTCTAAGTCAGACATCATACCACCAGCATCTGATGAGACAGGGTACAGCCAACGTTGAAGTGTTATTTGCATTGAGCATGGCTCAGAACAAGGTCAACCACTGGTTTTCACACCTGCGGCGGCCATTAATCCACCTAGGTTCACAGGCTGTGCTTCCTCTAATTCAAGCTGTGCCTCAGGACTCTTAGCCCAGGTATATACTCTTCAGGGATTTATAGAGGACGGGATTCTTGGTAGTCATCATGGATCCATGGCCTTCCCCGCTTCTCGTTTGTCTTCAGTACGGCTTGACAAATTTAGGCTATTTCCCCTCTTATCAAGCCAATCGGCATCTTACACGGATCAATATAGATTCATCGCCTAGCTCGCCTTGCAGTAATCGAGCTCCAGAGTGTCTCCACAACAGAAAGGTTTTCATCCAGCAACAATGAAACAGTCATCGATATACCAATGACCACCCTGGTGGCACCGAATGCAACAGTGCGGCCACCATGCAATGCGCTGTGCTAGCTTTCCAATTGGGCTATGCCTGCGATCACGACGTCAGTCCAGTTACCGGCTATTATGAGGGGCTTGCAGCTGTATAAGCGGAACGTTTTAAATCTGCCACCCCGCTACTGAAATATCAAATGATACTCCATAGCTGCTCAAGGGCATCCTCCTCTTTCCTGCTGCGCTTTCGTCCAGCTAAATCTGCTCAGGTAGCGTTAGAATTACGACACGATGCTCTACGCAGAAGGAAACAAACTCGTTTTCCGATTCGACGATCATACCCTCTGGATCGAGCCCTGGAGCGAGAATGCGTTCCGTATTAGGGCCACGAAACTTGCGTCCATGCCCAGTGAAGACTGGGCACTGACTTCGGAGGTGGATTCACCAAAAGCAACCATCGAGACCCCGAGTAATGAGGATGCAACCATCGTCAACGGCAAGATCAGAGCAACTGTCTCTAAACGGGGTAAGATAACCATCCTCGACCACAAGGGGAACAAACTCCTTGAGGAATATGCCCGTCATCGTCGGGACCCCAAGGACCCGAAATGCAGCGCATTGGAGATAGAGGCACGAGAGCTACGACCAATTCTGGGAGGCGATTTCCACCTTACGATGCGGTTCGAATCGCTAGACCCCAGGGAGAAGATATTCGGCATGGGCCAGTACCAGCAGCCGTCACTCAATCTCAAAGGTTCGGACCTGGAATTGGCCCACCGGAACTCTCAAGCTAGCGTACCCTTTGCGGTCTCTTCGCTCGGGTACGGCTTGTTGTGGAATAACCCGGGAATTGGGCGAGCAGTGTTGGGAACCAATACCATGAGCTTTGAAGCGTTATCCACAAAAGCGCTCGATTACTGGGTTGTTGCAGGTGACAGTCCCGCCGAAATCGTCGAGGCCTACAGCAAGGTGACGGGCTATGTTCCTATGATGCCGGAGTACGGACTCGGATTCTGGCAATGCAAGCTGCGGTACTGGAACCAGGAACAGATCTTGGACGTGGCGCGCGAGTACAAGCGCCGCGAGGTTCCGCTGGATCTCATTGTGGTGGACTTTTTTCACTGGCCGCACCAGGGAGAATGGAAATTTGATCCCAAGTTCTGGCCCGATCCAGGTTCGTTCCCAGTAGGAAGACGCCAAGATACTCTTCCATTAAGACCCGACACTGACCCCATCGCTTCTCCACAATCTAGACGCGATGATCAAGGAGCTCAAAGACATGAACGTCGAGGTCATGGTTTCCATCTGGCCGACAGTCGAGACCGCATCCGAGAACTATCCCGAGATGCTAGAACGCGGTCTTCTCATCCGCCACGACCGCGGGTTGCGGATCGCCATGCAGTGCGATGGGGACATCACGCACTTCGACGCGACGAACCCAGAGGCGCGCGCTTTCGTCTGGAGCAAGGCCAAGCAGCACTACTACGAGAAGGGAATCAAGGTCTTCTGGCTCGACGAGGCGGAGCCCGAGTACGGCATCTACGACTTTGACATCTACCGCTACCACGCGGGCAGCAATCTGCAGATCGGGAACATCTTCCCCAAGGAATACGCCCGGGGCTTCTACGAGGGCATGCGGGCTGAGGGCCAGGAGAACATCGTCAACCTCCTCCGCTGCGCCTGGGCCGGCAGCCAGAAGTACGGTGCCCTGGTCTGGAGCGGCGATATCGCCTCCTCGTGGCCGACCTTTCGCAACCAGCTGGCGGCGGGCCTGAACATGGGTCTCGCGGGGATCCCCTGGTGGACCACCGACATTGGGGGCTTCCACGGTGGCGACCCCAACGATCCCGTCTTCCGGGAGCTCTTCACCCGGTGGTTCCAGTGGGGAGCGTTCTGCCCGGTAATGCGGCTGCACGGCGACCGCGAGCCTGTCCCGGAAGGCCAACCCACCGGGTCTGGAGCCGACAATGAGATCTGGTCGTACGGTGAGGAGGTCTACCAGATCTGCAAGAAGTACATCGGCATCCGCGAGGAGTTGCGCGACTACACCCGGGGCTTGATGAAGGAAGCGCACGAGAAGGGGTCCCCCGTGATGCGGACCTTGTTTTACGAGTTTCCAGAGGACCCCAGGGCCTGGGATTGCGAGACGCAGTACCTCTTCGGCTCCAAGTATCTGGTGGTTCCCGTGCTGCAGGCCGGGCAGCGGAAGATTACGGCGTATCTGCCGGCTGGGGCGTCGTGGCAGCTGTGGGGTGAGAAGCACGACCAGGTCTACCAAGGAGGACGCGAGGTCGAGGTGGCCTGTCCCATTGAGACCATGCCTGTCTTCGTTCGCGTGTAGGTTAGCATGCCGACTATCTCGGGGAGAGCCAAGGTCCAGGCTGTAGAAGATATAGCTCCACTGAATCTGAAAAGTCCTAGGAGATATCCAGTATATTGCACCAGAAGATACCACCCCTGGCACCTGCAAGAGAGCACAAGGCCTGCATAGTCTCGGAATGCCGTTCCGAGCCTGTCTACCGTAGAGCTAGCGATGAGTGGGTGTCATGGCAGCAGTTGCTGATCCTTGTATGGGAAGTGTAGTCGAGGACCAAAGTGATGTCAGACGGGGTCTGCATATACTGACCACTCTTCAATCCGCTATGCAGGGACTTGTCCATCGAACAATGGTCACAACCGAGAGATAAATGCCAGCCAGTACTTGATTCACAGCAGGCACGTACACTCAGGGCAAAAGGGTGGGACTTGTCTTCATATGCCTCTGCGTGGTCATTGAACAATCTTCCTCACCTTGATGTAAGCACATCCATCGCTTATTATTTCACTCGTCAACCGTCCGGCTGGTCGCCGTTGCGATCAATCGGCAGTTTGAACGGGTTATCAGAAGGGGTTACTTCTCTCGCCAGATGTGACGACAGCGGTGTATATCTACTGATCTAGGATGTGACTTTGTGATCTCGTCTTTCCAGCTTGGGAATCCGTCCAGTAGATTGGGAATAAACACATAGACACCATGCTAATCGGATGGCAGAGGAAGACGGCCGTGTTAGTACTATGGCCGTTTCCTCTGACATCACAGTGGACTGTTAAAGATTCCTGCAGCTGGAAAGATCATGAAAGAATACCAGGTTGGGGGAATTATCAACTACGACAGCGAAGTACGCATATCCTCAGTCATAGCAGAAGCCACTGGCCCTACTACTGACTTTCTCGATAGATAGATAGATAGATAGATAGATACTACGGTCCTGGCCGTCCACTGCTCCTTCTCTCTCTCGTCCTCCAGGACTAACACAGCAGCAGCAAACCCGAGGATCACATGGGCTTGTAACCCCCAATGTACCAAAGAGAAATATGACCCATCCTGTCCCAGCCAGCCAGCCAGCCAGTCAGCACACAGTACCCCCCCAAACCCAACGCAAGATCGATGCAACCTACACAGTACTATATCCCCAGTGATTCCCCCTCTCTACTCCGATGATCCACGAGGAACGTAGAGAGACACTAGCACGTACTCCGCAGCACAAAGCAAATACCAGAACCGGACAATGTAAGAGTCGTGCACATCGCAGAGTAGAAGATCATCAAACGAAACCCCTCCTCCGTCCGGAACGATAAGTATCGTGGATGATCATTTTGGAGGAAAGCCGCGACGGCGTACAGACGGATGTGTTCTCCGTCCTGTTTGAATGCAACAAAGCAGAACAAGAAGGGGGGGAGGGAGGATCGTCCTTAGCAAGTATGACTTTTCGTAACTTGGTTCCCAGATAATGCAGGGAACTAGTCATCGAGGATTTGTCATTCTGCAGAACAGGAAGGGCCGAAACCAGGAAAAGAAAATCAGAGGTGAAAGATGTGTGTGCTCTTTTGTCATTATCCCGGAGAATAAGAATCTGTGTGCGTGTGTGTGAGAGAGAGAGAGTGCAGTCACACTATCGAAGGTTAAAATAGGCCAGGAGCTGAGGCAGGCAGAGTGATTTGCAGCCACAAAATTGAGGCCTGGGGGCCTGAGCTGAGCCACACAAGTCTTTTGCCACCCAATATATTGCTAATCTAGTAGGCAATAGACAAGGTGTATCTACTACATGGTGTTGACCATCGAGCAACATAGAATATGCTAGGATCGTCAGCTTAGCCACAATCGGCTGTGAGCACGATACAATGCGGTACAACAGAGCTACCATACACCGTATGGCAATTGTCAGGTCTCGCCACGGAGATAGACTTCGGTATGGAGTATCCGTACTATCTGATCGACCGTCCTCGATCGCAGTAGCAGGTAGTGTAGAGACAACTTCCACATTCTACGAAGTGAGCTCGCCTACACTGGTGAAGCGAGAAAGTACTGCATCATCCTACTACTGCAGCTACAGCTGCAGCGGCCTCATTATCGTCGGCAAACGAGAGTCACTTCCCCCCCCCCGCCCCCCCTCCTCTGTCTCGGTTCGCAAGATCAGGTTTGGTCAGACAGCCTCGTAGAACGCTCTCGCCTTGGTTCACATGCAGCAACACACCCTCGGAGGCATGAGTTGAGTACAGTACCTCGTTTCCCTCCCCCGCCTCCACCGCCAAAAGTACTCTGCATAGCAGAGTACCCCAGAGGAATGAACAGACCACCCGAATCAGGTCAGCGCATTGCCACATCATAGACAGGCAAAGTCCCCGGATGGATGCAATCGTGCGTCAAAGCTCGTCCCGCGCTTGACGGTCGACAAGAAGTTTCTCCACTTCTCCTCGCCTCCTCATCCGAAGCGGCCTCGGTCATGACCCGCTTGTCTGGCCATCTGTGCCGTCTCACGACGAGGGACGTAGAAGGTATTTTCGGAAATTCTCGCCTAGAACAGGTCAAAGAAGGATTCGATGGAGGGAATGCGGACGGGGCAGTGGGAACAAGCGGAAAGAGATCGAGGGGTCGACTCGACACTCGACAGTTGATGGTGGAGATGGGGTTCTGGACGGTGGAGTTAGACCGCCAGAGCTAGGTATAGGCTATCTACGTACTGTGATCCACGCTTGGAAGGGATGGGTGGGGGGGTGGGAGAGGAGCGAGGGGAAGAAGATGTCCGCGCGCGCGCGCGCGCGGGAAAGTAGTCAGATGCACGGGTGCACTGGAGCCTGAATAGGGCGCGCGAACGGCTTATGCTTGACAACCGGCCCTGTGAATGGGGGAAGGACCCTCTGTTCATTTATTTCGACCTTTCCTGTTGGTGGTCCTTGGGAGAAGATCGGGTGGGTTCTCATGCGGATTGACTCGCCGACAAGCTTGTCTTCGCCCTCTCGCCCATCCCGCGGGACGAATCTTCTCTAATTTAGTGGGAAATAGTATTATTAGTACACGATTTAGCAATGAGGGGGGGCCGGGGGAGCCCAATCCCCATCAGGAGGCTTCTCTTCACTTCTCTTCTGGGTTTTTTTAGATAGTGGTGCGACAGAGCAATTAATCCCAGACTGACTAGTCTCAGGGTCTTTTGCCGATGAGAGGGAAGCGACTCCAGTTCGCTTGATAATCGTGGGTCCTTGGTGGATGACAACATAGCAGGGAGGGAAAAGATGAAGTGAGTGAATAACAGGTTTGTGATGATTGAACACCGAGATAGTGCTGTTGGGTCCGGTCGATGCCAGACGGTACATACGTACACACTTGGTTGGTGTGGTGTAGGTGTAGTAGAAGATGGATCGGAACTATTGGCTATGGGCGGATTCCAAAGATCTGCAGCCTCTTTCGTCCATCGGGGACCGGGGAATGGGGAGGGGGAAGAGAAGGGAAATCCCCGTAGCTCATTGGTGGTCAGAGCCAGAAACGGACGGGGCGCCCATGCCCTTTACCTTAGTATCGGGTCGAGATTCACCTCGATTGAGTTTTTTTCTTTTTGTGCTTAAGCCCGGCTAGATTAAGTTGATTGATTGATTGACTATGATTATTAGGTTGGGTTCGATTGTTTCCCGTCTGCCCGGACCCAAAGGTTGAATCTGCCCCAGTATTTAGGTACTGTACGTAGGGTTTAGAAGAAAAGCAAAAAGCAGAAAAGACAGAGGGGACGGGAGAAAAGAAAAAATAAAGAAACACAAAAAAGAAAAAAGAAAAAATCCCACTCACTCTCTAGCCCGGTTGGCTATCGATGTTAGAAGCATAACGAGATTTAAACTGAACCCCGACAACACCGCAGTGAGGGAGGAGCCACTTTCTCCTCCCCGGGAGACGTTAGTCGTCACTCGATCCCCGTCACCAGGGCCACTCTTGGGCCCAGAATCCCGAGCCCAGCCTGCAGGTGCCCTGTTCCGGTAGGCTTTTCTGGCGCTGTGCCCTGGCAGTGGCAGTGACTCGAGCAGAGGGGAAAAAATTAACTTCCTTGACAGCGGGAGATCCGTTGGGGAACGAGGTCTGGTTCGGGACAACGGCGTACAGTCTGAGGCCCTCAATGGGGCAGTCGGTCTTTTACAGGATCCCATCCCTATCTCCTGGTGTTTGCCTGGGTGTCCGCAGGGAGCGAAACTGGGGAGGTGGCTTCGGAGAGTTGCGAATTGAGGGTTGACTAACATAGTAAGTACTTTGAGAATTTGTCAGACTTGCGACACCATTGAACGTGTGAAGAAGTGTAGGAGCCAAATGTCCAACCGAGGCAATAGTGCCGCCACATCAAATCAATCTGCATTGGTCCACAGAGACATATACACATGCAGCACGAGACGAAGGAGGAGCTCTACCTTGACGGTAAGCCGCACCATAGCGTTTGGTGATGGAAGCAGGCTATCGCGGGTCGACTATCCAGAGTCCCTAGCCGTTGTATCGAAGTTACTACTCCCAGAGGGCCCGGTGGTTGTGGTTGCGATTGTGGTTGTACAAAGGAGGCCTATCCAAACTAGGCAGGGCATGTGCGCTGTGAAAGGGGGGCGGGGGGAATGAATCAATCCTCCGCTCTGCGCGCATACACATCCAGAGCACAATTAGAGAGAGAGAGAGAGAGAGAGAGAGGGCATGACGTATCCGCCACGTACGACTTATCTTTGCGTGCGTACTTGCGCAGTCAGTCGGAAGGATGGATCATCTCAGTGCCACTTTCCCTTCTCATCGGTTCTCCATATGAACTCGTTTATCATCATGGTTACGTCGAGTTATACGATCTACACATGTTGACAGGCATTCCTGCTCTGAAACGGGGGAAGGGGAATGGATAAGAGCAAGACAACGAACTGCAGTGCAGCCCTTGTCCCTGCATGATCTGATTCCCCGTTAGGGAGATTCCCAATGATGTATGCGAATGGAAGTATTCGTCAGTCAATCAGTCATTCAGTGAGTAAATGAGTAAGAACGGAGTCCGGGAGAATATTGGTGTATACATTACAGGTAGTTAAGTGTTAGTATTAGTGTTAGTGTTGTTTAGTGGTTAGTTACCCGGTGGATCCTGGTCCGTTCGGCGAGAGGGGGTTGCAGGAGGTGCAGGAGGTGCAGCATTGGTGGTGGGGGCATTGTTAACCTGATAACTGCCCTAAACCCCAAACAGATAATTCGGGAGGACAGTCTAGCCGGGCATCTGGAAGGGATCGGGGATTCCACATGGTCCCCGAGGAGGAAAACATAAACCCCGATCAGAGAGGGCAGCCAATCAATGCCTGCATGCTTCCCCGACAGTAGCCCGGTCGCGAAGCCCACCCCCGCGACGTCATGGTCACTCAAAGGTACCGGAGTCAACTGGCTGAAGTACTGTACTACTACCAACCCTCCGCCATCGGATACCAATTGGCATGATGAAAAAGAAAAAGCAATGTCTTACCCGATCTGGGTTATCTCGATCATCACGACGGCGTACAGTACCGTCATCAGTACCCTGCCACTGTTGTTCCCAGTGGAAGGGTTTAAACCGTTTTCCCGACCGAGGATCTGAATGCTGGTCGAGGAATGATCAATGATATGAGTAACTTACCCTATGCAGTAACTAGTATCTTGTGGGCTAACTCGCAATACAAATCTCACCAAAATGATCCCCACAACAAATACGTGCAGCTTACCTCTTCTAGTCACAAACCTCCATACACCTTTACCCGTCGACATTGACCGCTGATGAAAATCATGGATAGATGTAAAAATCCTGCGTAGATATCAACTACCTTTCAAGTGTTAGGACGAGGATTTTGTGACACTACCGTATGCCCGGAGAATCCGAGTCCAAGCAGGGCGATAGCCGAGGATCTACTCTGCTTTCCTTGGAAAAGTACTCCGTACCTTCCCAGCATTTGAAGAAGTAAAGGAAGTTCAAGGTTGTGATGCATTCCAGGTTATGCTTTCAGGTTCCTTTTTTTTTATTTTTTTTTTCTTCTTCCTCTTCTTCTTCCCTTTTTTGGCAATGAGATACACAATCCATGAGGAATTGCAATGAATAGAGTTTGGAGAGTGACTGACAGCCGGTGCTCGGACCCCCTGAGGTTCGCAGCCTTCAAGGCCCGACAGTCAGGAAACAGCGGCGGGATGCGAGAGCGCCGTTCGCTCCACCCCCCTTCTTCTCTCGTCTTCCCCATCCTCCTGTCTGTGGTGTGGTGTGCAGTGCCCTGGTGCAGTGCAGTGGCTCTGTCTCTCTATCCCGATCCAGACCTACCTACAGACCATCCTTGTTCAACTCCCCTTCGGCGTTGCACCGCATTGCATGGGAGCAATGATGAGACAGGGCTTATGTGAATACTTTTTTCTGGTCTTTTCTTTATTTTTTTTAATTGTTTCTTTTTTTTTTTCATTATTTCCTGTTTTGTCTTCTTCCTCTCTTCACCTGTCGCTTCCAAATCGCAACAGCTATACTTACAGTTGCCGCTACCATCATCGTGTCGATCGGATTGCGTATCTCGTCATCCACCGCCTTGGTATGAGCCGATTCTCCCCCAGTATAGGAGAAAGAAACATGTAGCATTGATGGGCATACTGTACAAACCAAAACGCCTTCTGCCGCAGGCTGAAGGATTACATACATAGTAACTTAATATATCTCAAGGGGCCCCCTAGCCCTTGAAGCTGGAATAAACACATAAATTGAGTGCTGCTTGATTTTCAGGTATGCCGCAGGCAAGGCCAGTCAGTCTACGGAGCAAGACAGAGCGAAAAGGAAAGCTGCACGCTAAGCCTCCAAAGTGGCAGCAACTAACCAGAGTTCATCTCAAATACTTCCTTTGCATACTCCTCATTCTCCTTGCTGATTGGTCACCTAGTCCCCAGGGTAGAAAGCCGGGCACCATTTCGCGGAAGCACCTGAGAGTTGAAGCTGAACTAGCACCAACCGGTCGTAGCACTGTACATCCTCCTTCAGCGACTGCTTAGCCTCCGCTGTGCCGGGGCGCCCGCCCCTCTCCCTCTCCCTTCCCTTTCGTGATCAATCAATAGTCCGGAGCGGTTGTGAATGGGAAGAAAAAATGATCCTTGTGTGGTCCCCCTCCTTCCCCATTCCCAATTGAGAGTAATGACTTTACAAACTACGAATCTTACGAGAACTTCCGCCGAGTTTGGTGCGGAAAAGCATTTCCACCCATCTGACCACCGCCATAATTGTTCAGGGCAGTGTACGGTACTGGCAAGCCCTGGTCCTTCGCAGACTTGAGATTGATCATTGATCTTGTCAGGTCGAGTTGAGTATCGTTACAAGCAAAATGATGATGGATACACCGCGCAGGGGTATAGTGATTATGTATCTGTATATACCGTATATACAGTATGTAGTGAAAATTAAGTATTTATTGCCGTACGGTATGTATGAGTATGTGCACCATACACCATATGTATGGACGTATGTACAGTACAGTATGCCGTTTGTCGGGTATGTTATACCCACCTACCCTGCCACAACACCCTCCGTACCACGAGGAGAAAGAAGGAAAGACCAGGGAAGGGGGAGGGGTTCAGATCGCCAGGTAAAACTGTACGTACCCGTCCACATGGCAGTCTTGCAACAACAGCAGCAACCGCAACCTTTTCTCTCCCAAGACGTAGATGGCGTTTGACGGGTTTTCAATAGTTTCTTTTCTAAAATCGATTTTTGGCTTTTCTTGGGCTTCTCTCAACTCAACCCCAATCCAGATACGAGAGGAGGGGCAGACAGCTTTTGCTTCCCCAATCCCCCATGGAACAGACCGACCTTTCAAAAGAGCGTTGGATTTTCGCTAGCCTTTTCCTTTTTTCTCCCTGAGGACGGGCGGGGACATTACAAAGGGAAGGGGGGCAGGCGCACAAAAGGTTGACTGACACTTTTGACAGACGTTGGGCAGGATTCAAGGGAGGAAAGGGAGTGGGTAAGGTAGGGGGGAAAGCTATCGTTGGAAAATCCTGCTCCACCATTAACAGTCGTACCAAGAACTCAGTATTTCGTAGTGAGTGACAAAAAGTGAAAACTTGATCGATTCCTGGTTGCTGAGTCGTGGGTGTGGGTAGTAAGTCCATTTCAAACCAAAAACAATATGATTGTTGTCGGGTTTTTATCCTCTGGTTCTTTTGTTAAATTGTTTTCACCTTCGTCTGCTGTTGTTATACTTCCATCTTCTTGAATTTCCTAATTCCTTTGTGTAGGTTCTTTCCCTGATAAGCCCAGGGAAACTAAGGCAGGTACTAGGTAACTTACCAGATAGTGTAGCACCGGAGTAGGCACACCAGTGCTGTGCCTATGTGGTGTGCCTATGGGTCCATGGGATCGAGATACATACATCCGATCTAAAGGAATCCCGTTTATCATTCCCTGATCAGGACTAGTCCTGGGGTTCCAGAATGACAAATGTCTTTATTGGGCTAGCCAATCATCTGGTGTAAAAGGCTGATCGGAGCAGTGGTTCGTCACGTCATGTGTGGCTCAGGGGTTCGTGCATTTTGCCCTCTTCTCCTGCCCCATTTCTTTTTGGGTTGTTTTGCATTTTCCTTTCGGGAAACAAGCTATTGTCAGGTAAGTTAGGTTATCTTTCAAGGTACCAAACTTTCATCATGTATGACGGGTAGGTAAGAATGATAACCCATCCGATCGGATAAACCGCGGCCCCTTCTATATTCATCGACCAAAGTTCGCTTCAACGGTTCGTCCCTACATAGCTCGTGGCGTTCGCCTGGAAGACTTATCGTTCTGTGACCTATGCGTGGTCCAGCTGGCCCAGCCGACGCCCACAAAGAATCTGGGATCTATCTTTCGGTGGGCACTTGGTTTTCTGGTACGTAGTAGAAGTTTTGTCTCGGATGACAGCTACTTACCTTTCCCTCGGTAAACTGCTAGTTCTAGAATAAGCAGAAAGGAAAATGATACCAGAAAGGTGACCGACCATCCGCTGCTCTGTGCTAAGAATCTGTAACAGAACACGGACAGCCTTTGCATTCGGTAGGTAGAGGACGATCTCGCTTCACGGAGAATTTTTTTTTTCTTTTCTCTCTTGGTTGGGTTGCACCCGCGTTAAGAGTTTACCGAAATAAGGCTGGGGAAAAAAGGAATTTTCGGGGACACTCTATGGCCGGGGGAGTGGGTGGTGCACCATGTAATCTGAAACCACGCGAACCGAAGAAGAGCAACGATCGCTCGTTTCTTTTGCCGACTACCTCATGATTGCTCATGATTGTTGATTACAATGATGATGATACTAAGTTGATAACCGCACGATGATCTGGATAAGATCGACTCACCATATCCACCTTTCTCCGCTTCCATCTCACGACCAAGGATCACAGTCGATTTGCAAGCTTCGATCACTTCAGATCGGCCAATGGCAGTCATGATAGATTCCGATCGGACAATCCTTTTTTTATGGGTTTTCATCATCATACAGAGGAGTTCTGAGAAGCGACTCAAGCGAGGTACTAGTGGACCATAGTTGCAAAAAAGGGTTGACGTTAGCCTCTTAGTCCCGTCAGTATGACAGCGGGACAGGCGCCGCCGCATGATTTAGAAGCACCTCCGGTGTGACTGGCTAGCTGTGGTACTTCCGTTCTCTATGACAGATTTCAAATCTTCCGACTTCCCCGGACGATCGTAGTCCCCGTATTCTAGTCGCCGGTTTACGTCTCCTAGGCTGGCGATAGTGGATGGGACAGGGTGGTATCCCTAACCACCTGTGATCACTGCTGAGGGCGTATCTGCATATGTCCTTTGCAGCAACCTGCAGAATTGCTCAAAGCTAGTCTTGAGAAGGCAAGTCACTCACAATTCTTCTTAGGAGCCAACCGATCTCGCCCTACATTCGTCTACCGCGCTCGATCCAGGAGGTCCAAATAGGGGGAATCCTGGATTGTTCGATGAGATCTATCATCCTTCTGCTGCATATGCGATACAAGCGAACATGTCCGAAAAGCTAATGGACCCGGAAAAAAAAAGAACCCTGCAGCAAAACGTGAGTCAGTATCTTGGATCTGACTTGTTGATTGGACCGAAACCGCTGGAAATATTGGTTTTTTTTTTTTTCTTTTTCCTTTTCCTCTTTTCGTAGGGAGGAGGAGTATTTTGAGATTCGCTGGTGGCATGTGCGATATTTCAGGTAGCCCGCTTCCCCATCGACTGTGCCCCTGAACGGATACATTCAGGCGGTGCTCGAACCTCCCCGTGGGAGTGTGCTATGCACCTGCATCGGAAAAGAACTCCAGCGACGAAAGTGCGATGTGCCGAGAGAAAAGATCACTAAGAGAGTGAGAGTTAGTCATCGCTGTCTCAAATTCCCGCAGCAGTGACAATCAAACATTAATGGGACCGAAGGGATGGGATTCTGTCCCGTGTGTTTGGCACGGCGGAATTCGGGGCGAGAAGCTTACTGGCAGCTGTGCGTAATGACTACTAGGTATTCGGGAGCAGCGGGCACACCGTTGAAACCAGGGGGTGGTCGAGCGGCATAGTTTAGCCCGCCTATGGCATCCATGATAACTTACCAAGTACCTGGTTAAGGAAGACGAAGCATGACTAAGAATGTGCCGCTGCAGACAGCGTACTCCGTACGGAGTAGCAAGTACTGCAGGTGACTGACTGGCCGACGAATGATCCCCGAAGAGGTATCCGTCCCAGAAATCGAGATTGTGCGCGATCTCAGTGTCGATCGCATCCCAAACAGGTATAAGACCAAATCAAAAGATTCCAAATTGTCGCAGGTTGGCCTGCGCCAATCACAAAACCCCACTTGAACAGTTCGATGTCATGTTCTGAATAACGGTCCACGGGGAGTGGGAGGAGTGAAGAGATCAAGGCTGGAACGGGAGGAATTAATAATTAGACTAGATTAATTGCAGCGGAATTCGATCATTCTTCTCATGGCTGGCTGAGACGGAGAACCACCACAACCACCACCATCACTGCAGCAAGCTGAGATTTCCTCTTATGGAATCATGCACTTTCCATTCTAACGTGGTATTGATGTGTAATATTTTGCAGCCCCCTCTCTATTAGAGAAGGTAAAAGAAGCTAGACGGGGCTTCGTTGATCAATTAACATAGGGAAGTAATTAATTTATTCTAGATGCAAAAGAGCAACCATAGCACACTCCCTCGCGATGAATTCCAGCCTGTCAGGTACTGAAGTACGGAGTACAGTCACTAAGTACTTCTTGACTTTGTAGGTAGAGCACTCTGTAGTAGATAGACTCGATCTGTCACTGCCCAATTTCATTAGTATGGTGGATCCATCCTGATTCGAGTCTGTCTCTCCTGGTTCAATTCATGTTTCTTGTGCCTAGATTAGCCCTAAATGAGCGAGTCCGCTGCCCGTGATGTCGGCGCAGCAGCTCAACACCTCACAACACCATCTTCCACCATGCGGGCGGAAGGGGGCATGGCAGGAAGCGAAGATGGTTTTGGATTCCATTCCCTTGGTTTATTTTTACCTACTTCCCTGTTCCCTGCCAGCCCCCCTCCGTCTCCTCTTCCCCCTTCCTCCGCTCTTGTCGTTTGTCGTTTGTTATCATGGTCCCCGAAGGAGCCCGCCCCGCAGGATCCATGAAATTCTGCATTCGACGTGTATGACCCCCCTTCCTCGCATTTACCTACACTTCGCCGTTTTTGCCGCACCCGTTGCTCCTGTCAGGGCCGCCTGGACTTAACAAAGGCATGGGTCAAGCTGCGGCGGTTAGTTCGCCTCAGTCGACAGATCGCTTAAGACTACAGGTCACCATGAGAGCGGGGAATCCACCACCTAATTCTCTGGCGTGTATATACCTTTATATCTACAATGCTACTAGCGTGGGGAAAAGCAAACAAAAAATAAAAAAAAGAATATCAAACCATCCACCGCGTAAATTCTTAATCCAATTTAGGTCACAAGAATCAGCAAATCAAGCTAAGCACTCTCTCCGCCCTATTTTTTCGAATCCATAGGACTATGGCAGAATGGGGATAGAGACAGAGAGGGGGGGGTGTGGGAGATATGGCGCTTGTGCTCTGACTGGACTTATTTCGTCATCGTGGAACTTATATAGAACTAGTGAAGATCATATTACCAGGGTGCCCCATGCAAGTAAGCGCCCCAGGACACATTGCTCGCAGCAAAGCATTTCAGTTGGATAGCTCTCAAAGATCTGGATAGTAGCTCCTCTGCCAACTATAGCAGCATTCTGAGGAAGGCCAACTAGCCTTGCCTCAGATATAGATGAGTAACGGATTGGCATCCCCTGGACGACGTCTCAAACTGTCTCTGCCTCTTACATAACGAGTCGGTCGGTTAACGATAGACCTAAGCAGCGCAACAAGTGCGCGGAAACAAGAAAAAGCAAAGATTCAAAATAGAACAGAAGCTGCATGGAGCTACAGCGGGTGCCTCACTCGGGCCAGCGACTGGCACCTCTAATATCCCTGCTGCAACACCGATCCTGTGGTAAAGCCCGTCAGTGTCCGGGAATAGTGGCAAATCTTTCCCCACGACTCAGAAACGCCAGCTGCAGCAGCTGATAGCTGCCTTGCTTGCTTTTTCAGCCGCGTGGTTGTTTCGCTTCTCTGTCAATGATGGGTCCGATTTTACCGAAAGAAGATACTGCAGAAAGAGTCCGTCCCCAGCGCTAGATTAAGGAGATGAGATCGGTTGAGCCCATGTTCAATTAATGGTAATGGTAATCTGATCGCTTCTTCGTGATTGTGGTTAGGTAAGTAAGTGTATATGGCTGAGAATGGTTATTTGTAGACAGAATGATGTTTTGGTGACAGACAGACGGGGGCACAATCGATCTGTCTAGCCTCTTTGGTGTGTTTAGCAGTAACATACTGTAGGGCGTCAGTCGGCTAGCTGAGCGTTTCTTACCCTTCCCTATACAAAGTGTACGGATACTTCCATTTACAATACATACGTACTAGTCATACTCCCCTGGTATGGTAAGGAATGAAGGAAAATAGAAAAAAAAAATGAATTACACTAATCTCGAGAATAATAACAACCACCTTTATTTTTCTGATAATCTTTTTTTTTTCGGGTCGAAAAATAAAAATAATAAAAAAAAACATTCCTCCGACAACTGTCAGCTCCGAGATCTTGGATCAGATCTTCTCCTATAGCGTGCTGGTGTGGAGCAGTAACCCATTTTTCTCTGACCCGTCTCCCTGGTCATTGTATCCTTCTGTTGCTGCTTGTTGCTATAATAGAAGATCGTAACCTTTCCATCTCCATCCCTCCTTTACTTGACTATTGTTAAATCGTCCTTGTCAACACCTTTTAAAGTCCCGACGGGTCTCACTTTACCTCTTCTCCTATATCTACCATTCCCAGGGACGCACCTTCGAACCTTATTCTCTCGAACAACCCAATTTCCAAGTCCCTCAACTCTCGATCTACTACTTGCATCATCCAGCTGCTTGGATCTGTGGTCATTGCGCCTTGCTCCTTGCTCACCTTTCAGCTGGTGTTAGTCCTGCCTTGTGCACTGCAGTACCTTACCACGTACCTGCTACCTACCTACCTACTACTACTACTACTACTACTACTACTACTACTACTAGTAAGTAGTACTGGACTTCTACTCCGGAAACAACCCCACGGTAAGACACCCTTGGCTATTTTACTCTTCAGTCTTTCCCCACCCGCCCATACATTATCCCCAAACGTATCTGCCCGCTTTCCCTTCCTCAACATCCTTCCTGTCGACATTGATTGTTTCCGACTGTTATAATTCACACTTTTTCTCTCTAATTTCCTCCGATCATCTATTGTGCCAGAAGTCTAATCTTCATCTCACAGAAACTCAAACTTGAATCTTGCTCTCCACGATTCAGCCGCCCCTTGCGTTATCATTTCCATCCACAATGGCACCTACTCATCGTCGTGGACCCTGGGTCCCGGAGGAGGATCAGCTACTGCTACAGTTGGTTCGCGAACAAGGCCCCAATAACTGGGTTCGTATTTCTCAGCACATGCACTATCGCTCTCCCAAGCAATGTCGGGAGCGATTCCACCAAAACCTAAAGCCCTCGCTGAACCGCGAGCCGATTTCAGCTGAAGAAGGCTTGATGATCGAGCGCATGGTGGATGAGATGGGCAAGCGGTGGGCCGAAATTGCCCGGCGTCTGGGGAATCGTAGCGACAATGCGGTCAAGAACTGGTGGAATGGCAGCATGAACCGCAAGAGGAGAGGCCTGCCCACTTCTCCTCACTCCGGACGCACTCTTTACGGACGAATCGAAGCTCCCTATGCACGGACTTCTTTGGCGCTGAGCAGCCCCGTTAGCCGATCCCGCTACTCCTCTATCTCCAGCGAGAGACCGATTTCCTCCTGGACCAAGTCTTCCTCTTCCCGCCGGGAATCCTTCTCAGCATCTTCCATCAACTGCCCTCGGCAGTTGACGCCCATCTTCACCCTTCCCGCCCTGAACCGCCCAGTGGAAACACCTTTGACCTCGCCCACCTACTCAGATGCACCCTCAATGGAGCCACCGTCGATGGTCTCGGATCACAACTCCGTCTCTTCCTCGCCCAGAACCGTCGCCTCTCCTCAACTTCTCCCTGTGCCGGTGGATATGCGACACCTCTATGGCGATGCTCGCAGACAAAGCGCATCATCCATGCAAACCACCGACGAAAGCTACCTCCCCAATCCCTACGGAACCAAGACTCTTGATCCCCTTTCAGATCTGTCTTTCAAGCAACGATGGACTTCCGAATACCAGCCGTGGAACCGACCATCTTCCTTATCTTCACCTACCTGGTCTGTCGATTCAGAAGATAAGACCGGATCGCCACGTGATTCCCGCATGGGTCTGCAAAATCTACTCAATTGATTGACGACGGTCCTTTCGTTGACCTGCTGAGAACGATTGCATGACTCCTTTTACTTCACCACGATATCTCCAGCCATTTCTCTGTATATTTGAGAGCTCCAACCGACCCTTGTCACTCTTTCCTGACTGGTTTCCCTATTTTTCCTTTGTATTCATACCATGTACATTGTTTTCATCTATGCTTCGGGCTATGTCCACGGCGGGTCACGTGGCAAGCGACCTAACCGTTTTTCTTACGGTACGAAGAAAAGTATTCGGGGAGAATATCTTGCGTTTCTGTTTCTGTTTGGCTTCTCCTTTGTTTACTGATGAACTTTTATCTACGGTGCGCACTTCTGGGTATAAAGCGGGCCAGAGTCGGTGAAATGTGTTTTTGTATATGTCAGTTCTGATTCTTTCGGCCATCTTGTGAGCTTGGATTTAATAATACCCCAATGGTTGTTTTTGGTTGATTACAATGTTTTGTCACGCGCGGGAAGAGCATTATTACTACTATTATTACACCTAATAATACCTTAATATTCTCTTGACCTGAAATCATTTGCCGTCTACATGTCCAGTTAGCGCATCGCGCATCCTCGGATGATTTTGCCCGAACCGATTCATGAGAAGTGCCGTCTCGACCGTTGCATCATATGTGAAGGAGAGCAGACTGGGAGCAAATCAGATTGTCCGGTTCCCGCGACACAGCTTATCCATCGTCCAGGTGGCTGGCTGTCATCAGCCCATCTTTCGCCAGTCAACGGCCATGGGCTCACACGGTTGCGCGCAAGGGGCGGCGCACCACTTACGAGGAGGCGAATGTTGAAGACGAAGGAGGCAGACAGACACGGACGAGCCACAGCCAAATGGGCCGAGTAGTCCAGGGATTCAATGTCTGGATCAACAACCGCGCAACATGAACCTGGAAAAAAGAAAAACCACAGGGGAAAGAAAAAAAAATTGGAACAAAGGAGAGACGAAAACGAAGAAGAAGGCGACGAAACAGCAAAAGCAACCTGAGTAGACTGTACTGTAACACCCTCTCACATACATAGTCTTGCGCACGAAGCTGAGGATCGATAGGTCTATTGAGCAGCGCAGCTGACAACAACCATCCCCCTCCTATCCTCCTCTCACCCCCTCAAAACGGATGCGTGGTTCATGCATGGCTTGACTGCCAATGGCCGGATGCTCACCCGCTTCCTTGACCAGTGCAGTTTGCAGAGTGGGTGTGGGTGTGAGTGGGTTGGCCCCAGTCAGGATTCTCGGGGAGGTATGGATAGTACTCATAGGTAAGGTTGATAACCTAGAGAAAGTTTATTCAGGGACACTGGCCGAACTATGATTGACTTCAGGGGGGGGGGAAGGCTTGCATGATTTGCCAGTGAGTCCCCCTCCTTTCTCCTTGTTTTCTCTCTCTATCTCATTGCGCGTTTGCAGCTGTTGCTAACGGTTGGGAGGAGGCATCGGCCTCGGCCTCGCTCCTCGTTGTTGAACCTTGCCCTCGAATCGAATGGAGCGAACTGCAGGCTTGTCCACCGGTGATTCACCAGTGGCTGCAGGAGATCCCATTTTTTTCACCATCAGCCTTCTGCCAGAGTTCGGAGAAAAGTAAATTCAAAAAAGCACCCTAACGGACCACGTTAACTTTACCACCGTCCGTCTTTGTCTCGGCTCAAGAAAAACGTCCCAACCGTCAATCCCTGTCTCGGTGGAGCCATCGCATGAGCGACGTCAAGGAGAAGCAACCATGAGGAGAGGAGGGGCAACGAAGAATAGGAATGTCTCCCTTGGACTCGGCTCTCATGTGCCACCACCCACTGGACTAGCTCTAGCCAGTAGGCTGTCCTCGTTATCCTCTTCTAAATACGGCCATGGTGGATCAAGGATGGCTCCCTACCACTGTCTGCCTGACTCGC